GGCCAGACTACTGTGACTTGTTTCACGATGTGTCTTTGTTAAAGGGGTCAACTTTACAGCTGGGGGCATCTAAGGTGAGCCTTTCTGGACGCATCCGAGACAAGGAAACCAAAGCTTAGGTGCAAAAGCAGCTTGGGGGGTTGATGGCAGCATCGGATCCTGCATTCTTGGACCTCAAAACAGGGACCCTGAAAGTCAAGAAACCAAAGAAGGAAAAAACAAAAGAGGAAGAGGTGGCCCAGGAGATGAAGAAAACTGCAAAGAAGTTCCTTGATCTCATTGGGGGTGATGCCAAAACACTCTGAACAATTCCAAACAAAAACACTGCTGAGTTTGAAATCAACTCAGGATGAAGGGCACAGCGAATGATATCGATACTGTCCTGCTGGAGATCGATGAATACCATGTCAGGAACTGTGCAGAGCTGGTGTCTTGTTTTGACATGGTGCTTTGTCCAAACTCGTCATAATAGTTGCAAGTCCCACGAGAGCATTTGAGTGGCTTATGATATCAACAAACCGTCCTTTGCGAGCAGAAGTTGTCATTTCACAAATGTGTATCACAAAGGTTCCCAAAACATTATACTTAATCTGAGGTGACCTGCTTGCGAGACCACCTACCATTGGCACGTGAGATGGCCAGTGAAACTGAAGCGAAGAGCAATGTTCCGATCGGCCATGTAGATTCCGAGGAATGGGTGTCCTACATCCAAACCATCAAGGATAAAACCAAAACCATGCTCTTGGATTTGAAGGATGCCAAACGTCGGGTGTCCACTGCCAAGGGTCCAAAGCCCAAAAAAAAGGCTGCAACAGCTGAGGCATCAGGGAGTGATGAAGAGTATCATTCCAACTGAGGTGGTGATGAGGCTTGGGCGTCTACCTAACAGAACAACCTGTGCATTCCACAATCCCAATCATTTCTTTGTTGGTGAAATGTCCCGAGCACATCCAGAACAAACTGTAAAGCTTTTGGTGAACAATGGAAGGCCCAGCCACCTGAGAACACTGAAAGACCCTGAACATTCTCCAAACATATGTGTTTTTCCGAATGATTGATGTTTAGTAGGGGAAAGGTATGTTGGTCGCAGGGTGATATCACCAGGTCCCATTCTGAGGATCCCAAAGGAGATCCTGGGTTCAGGCTGGCTGGGCACCCACGCGGTCTTGGGTGCAAAGACCCCTTTAGTTCTTTCCTGTCACGTGGCTGCTGTTGTATTAACAACATTGCCCATGGGAGGCAGGATCCATGCAATCGCAGTGGAACAAGAAAACTTTGCAATATGTTACGCAATCTTTGCAAGTCTAGCCTGCATGTTACGTTTGTCTTGGAATGAGCACATATGTTCCGAAGTCTTCTTGGGGTTGGAAGACAGTGTGCATGCATACCGTATTTGTCATTCTAACGGGTTTCAACACGCTTCAACAGAACTCATAGTATGGTTTGATTCCTTCATAATTAAACAGGTTCCCTTTGGCCTACTGTGGCATACAGCATTAAATATTGATAGCAATTGCCCTCGACCATGTCGCTTCTGGATATTGTGGAAGAATTTCTGGAGCTGGGTAAAGATGCACCTTGTCAAGGTTTGACAGTTTCCACCTTTGTGGTAAAACAACTGAACCAGTGATTTATTTTTGCAAGGTGAGCACGAGGACTTTGATAGAAATGTTCAAAGTCTTGCGACGGAGGATTCCTGGACACATGTTGCCGTGGCTGGGCTTTGTGCCTCTGTGTTTGTTGTTGCCTGAGTCCTACGAGTTAATGTTGTTCATCGGACTTGTAATGACTTAGGACAAATCTGAAGGATTTAGCTGACAAGTGTGAAGCAGATTCTCTTCATGGGGCCACGAGATTTTGGCGTTGGCTGAACAAACAATCTTGGAGAAAAATGTTTCCACTTCCACGGGAGTCCCTTGGTCGTGTATTATTTTATGCATCGTTGGGGTTGCTAGAAGATGTTGGGTTTTATCGATCACTGTGCTAAGGGTGGACGTGGTACTGTATGACCACCACAAGCAGCCACCACATCATTTAGACAAGTGGCATGTTTTCCTGCCTGCGGATGTGCTGCTGATCCCAAATTGTGTCATGTGCTTGGGGCTTTGGGGGGGCATTTCCATGGCGAAGCCAAGGTTTCATTCCTTTTGGACATATGATCAGCGGCTTTTTGAGGAGCGGTTCTTGGGACCACCTGGAGTTACTTTCCAACAATATGCACATGGTTGGTTTAAAATATGGTGTTGGGGTTTGATTGCCTTGTAACAAATCTGAGGCAATAGAAGAATTCTGGCACGGAATGGAGAACACTGTCTGGTATCGTGAGCACCCAATATTGAGCGACCCAGTTTCTTTGAATGGCACGAATGTTGAAAGTTTTTTTTGGTTTATGAAGCAGAATGGCCTGGATGAAATGCTGCAGTCCTTACTTGCCTGACAGTGAGGCTGTCGACAAAGCATTTTGCATACCATTGGTCTTCCACGGGGATGAAGCGGATGCCCATAGAAGACGGAGTTTCTGCGTTTGTAGTTTCAGCAGCCTTCTTGTGTCAGGAAAGAGTCCTTTTGACTCCAAATACCTGATCTACCTCACAGATGTCAACAGGTGCGTTGAGGAGACATGGGATGTCTTAGATGCTTGGGCTGCCTATTCCTTCATGGAGCTCCAGCATGGACAATTTTTCAGTGTGAGTCCTTTCAATGAGGATGAGGCTGATGGGTTTTCTTCGGGGCAATGCAGGGGCAATTGCAGGGAAGTATCGTGGGATCCTCACCTTTTGGAAAGGAGATGAAAAATTTGTCCAAAGGGCACTGAAATTGCAGCAGAGCTGGGTCAGTCATTCAGTGTGTGCATACTGCCAGGCATCGAAGGACACAGGGCCCCTAACTTATTCAAGCTTTGGTCCAGCATCTGCTCATCGCAAAACTCTCAAGACCAATGCTGAGTTTTTTGAAGGGGGATTTCGCAATAACGCATGGTGCCGCATACCGGGATTTCAGCTACAATGTGTTGTGCTGGATTGGTTGCATCTTGTGGATCTAGCTATCTTGCCCGAATGTGCTGCCTCAGTAGCTTGGTGGGCCATTCCAATAGATTAAGTTGAATGTGAGAAATCCCAAGAGTTCTTCTTGTTTTTTTTGTGTAGCCAAGGCACTGATCGAATTGACCGAGACCAACCTCCTATATTCAGCAAGCAGTGTAGATGAGCGCCTGAGATTGGCATATGTGGATTTCAACAATGCTTGCCGAGCTCATGGAGTACGTGCCTTGGGTTGAATTTGCTTCCTGTGACAAAGGTATTATTGGTGGGTTGCTCGAGCTGAGGAAACCGAGGGAAAATTTTCAGTTTGCATCTTTGGCTTGACAACAAACAAACATGTGAGTTTGGGTCTGAATGAGTCGTTTGTTAAGCCTGTTGTTGGATCTCAGGAAATCTATGTATCCACTGGGTGTGAACAACTACCCCACCCTTGTCCAGAAGTTTTTCAACGGATCAGCCCCTTGTCTGGAGAGACTTATATATATATATATATGCATGTGTGAGTGCGCCCCATGCGTTTAGCCATAGAAACATGACTGTGCATCTGTCTACTCTCCAAGGAGTGTGTGGTTCTTGGAATCTGGTTGAAAGGAGTATGCCTGAAGGTAAGTTCTGCATATCCAAATGATGAGCACCATGCGCTACTCACAAGCATGTTGATTTGTTTGGCAGCATTGATCGGTTTCATGTTTTCCCTGGATGATGGACTCCTTAAATTTCAGTTTCATTGAGGCTGCGAGCGAGTCTCTTTGTGAATCTTTGTGCAATGCGGGATGCAATCAGTCCCCGAAATGTCCAGCCGCATTTCTTCAAGCTGGGGAAATCCAACTTGGATATGCTCCAAAGTGCCTTCCTTCTCTTTAGAGCGTGCCACAATGGCACCTTGTTTCCAATCATTTGCAGCTTTGAATTCAGTGGTTGTTCTCTCAGAGATGTTGATGCCCAGGATTGGCGACTCGAGCAGTGCAGTCCCAACGAATGCTGTGGAAGATACGCCCCAAATTGCATAAGTTGCTTGGCTGAACAAAGGCAAATCACACACTTTTGTTTGATCTATAATATCGTTCGCATCCTAGGCTGGAACACCTATGTCAAGACATGGCGCCCTATGTGAACCCTCTCGCTGTAGCAAATTACAGTGACGAGGACCTAATTGGAAAGTGCAAAGCGGTGGCCAAAAAATGCCACCCATCCAGACTAGGTTACCAATGTCTTCAACGATATGCTGCCTACTGCTGTGTTCGTTATCTTCGCCAGCTCATGAATGGGTGATTGTGTGATATACTCTTAGATCTTTTATAAGATTTTTTTGGGATTGACCATCACCTGGATCAATTAACCACTGCTCTATCTTGCTGAAATCATCCATCAAGCGAGCCAGAGCCACCTCCTTTCGAGCTCGTGCTGGAAAAGGAGCTTTCCACAGGCCGCTGAGGGATGAGGATGGAATGAGGGATAACCCTTATCTTTTTTCAAGATTCCTTTTTGATGCTCTAACGGGTCTCTAATTGAGACCCCTTACCAACATACAAAATCAAAAATAATTGGTGACCCCTTGGGGTCACCTGGTATAATACATGTCTGGGGGGGTTTGATGAATCAAGAGTCTACTGGCAGTTCTTGCTTTCGCGCGCAGTCCGCGAAACAGTCCATTTTCAGTCCGGTCTGTTGGGGGAGACGACTGGTGTCGTCCGGCCGTGGTGTCTCTTCGATCGTCACCGTGACCCGATGTGAACGGTGTGACCCGATGCATGACCCCGTTGAACGCGTCCAAGTGGTCCAGGACGTTCTTCGTGACCATTTGAGGATTGGTGAATGGGTGATCATTTTTGCAGACCTGTTCGTGACCTCATTCTGAGATCTCAAGGACGGTATGGGAAGGTCCTGTTTCAAGGATGTGTTCTTCGTGGTTTTGGGCTGTTCAAACGCGTTTTCAGAGCGCGATGTCAGCCATTTGAGGCATCTATATCGCCAGCTACTACTTTTGCTGCTACACCATGACCAGTGTGGGTGACTTGGAATTCTGCTTTAGCTATGCTTGTGCCTTCGTGGCTGGGCGAACTCGCCGGATCATCCAGACCCCCCCTGGGCGCGCGCGCGAACGCGCTGGCTGAGGGTGGGCCTAACCTGATGCATCGGGTGAATGACGAATGGCATATTCATGGCCAAAAGCTACTGGTTTTCGGGAGTATCACTGACAATATGCCTTCAAGTTGCCGTTCTCTCGTTCTCCAGAGAGGTGAACCAATCTTCCGACTCACTGGACTGGCGAGTCCTGAACTCCGGCTGTGGACCGTTTTCGTACCGTTCACCTCAGCGCTTCGGTAGGGTCCTGGACCCGGGCCCCGGTCGTCCCACCGAAACGGAGATGACGAGATGACGAGTCCCCCGACGATGATCGACTGCCGAACAACCATCGGGCCGTCATCGCAGGTGTTGAGTTGTCAAGTGGATCTCCGAAATAGCTCGAATCTATAGTGACAGGCGGTGGCATTGAACGTATAACGCATGAATGAAGTATAGTAGGGCCCGGAGTCGACCTGTTTTTAGCTCGGAACATGGGGCGACGTCCAGCGAAACCAGTTAATTAATGAACCTTCTTGAACCGGAATGGCGATCAACTTCGGCAAAAGTCTCCATGCAAAGAGGTGGGTGAATGGGGCAACTCTCAGATACCTAGCTGATCCTATAGCTGAATTTTTCCATATGCCCCCGAGAGTCCCCATGCCCCATTTGATCCCCATAATAGTGGTATCACTTCCAGGTGGGGTTGTAATGGGTTAGACCGGAAGTTCTGGGTGTACAGTGCCTAGCAGAGCCAGCCCGCAAATGAATATGTTATTCTATAAGCCTATACTCAGTCTACTCTCTTCGAAGATTTCGTTATGTTTCCGGGAAACATCCTTAGAGATTTTCTGTCATCATCATCCACCAGAAATGCACCACATCGCACCACCAATCTCAAAAAAAGCAGAAACAAAAAGAAAAGCACCTCCCCCCCGGGCTCCTGGGAGCACCTGTGCTCCCACACCCCCCAAAACTGAATGGGCGGCCGCGGAACGCAGCCTCCACGCACCGTTCCACCCGGCACCCCCTCCCGACCTCCACGCAGAACGCAGCCTCCACGCTCCGAGGCTATGGCGACTTCGGTCCGCGAAACGTCTTGGAGCGGATGGCTTGTACTTGGATCGTCTTGACCTCGGGCCTCAGTTGGGCCTACATCTTGGGTGAGGTCTCTTGGAGAGGTCGGATCGGGGACGGGATCGGACCAGGGGACAGGAGGAAGGAAAGGAGGCAACTTCTTGTGTGGCTTTTCTGCTCCAACATGGGGATGTGAGGTGTGAGTCATGTGCCATGTTGGTTTAGAAGGGATGTGCTGAGACGAACATAGGTGAAATTTGTGTTTTTTTGAGTCATGTCCTTGTTTAAGTGTTTGGTTTGGAAGGGGTTTCTGACTTGACCACAGGTGAAACCCAGACAGCAAAGGACCAGCCTGGAACAGCAAAGTAAGGTCTGTGCCATCGTCTCGGAGATGACCGCGGAGAGTCAACGCTTCCGGAAGAAGATGCCGGGAGTCGAGTTTTCAGAGGGGGTTGGGGGTTGAAAAGAAGATGGAGCTAATTCACTGATGGTTTTGGGGTGGGGTGAGGTTGGAGGGGTTTTGGGGGTGCAGGATGATGGAAGAACACGAATCCCTCCTGCTACACCGCTACTAGGCTGCCACGGGGCCTCCACTGGGAGAGTCTTAATGACACCAGCTCTTAAGCCAACTGGTTTTTGGGGTACGAGCTCCGCTTCAGCGCTCGTCCGCTGGTTTGAAAGCCTGCGAACATTTGCAGGCATCACTTGAACTCCCTCATGGAAGAGCAAGGGCTTCCAGCTTCGCTCCGCTGTCGTTTGCGGAGCTTCTTCTTGCAGAATCGACATCAAGCGCAACACTTGACGCGGCAGAAGCTGTGGCTCGCCGTTTTGTGCTGCGCTGTTTTGTGAATCTCTGCAGGAGACATGCTTTGGAGCACCCGGTGTTTGGGCAACACTGTTTGGAGATCAGATTATTCAACTCGGTTTAGCTTCTATTATACTATACCGACCTGATAATTATAGTTTTTTAATACTTCTTTTCGTCCCCCTGTGCCGGTGCATATCTAAACAGCTCCGAACACCAAACACATTTATTTAGACTCGGTCTTCGTTTATCAACAAACTTCGCCCCAGCCCAGTGTCCACAAGGTGTCCTCACTTTGGAACTTCCCTGGTCCCCAAAAAAATATCTTTTTGACCTCTTCTTTTGAGCCCCCTTCATCTTCCGCGCTCGTCGTCTATAGTGAATCAACTCGCACTCTCAAACCACCGCCGCGGCGTGTCGTGTCCGGACCAAAGCCCTCTCCAGCCACGCATCTCGCCTTCGAGACCAACCAGCCGAGGTTGGATCATTTGAGCCCTCAACTTCACGCGGAAGTATGTACCGCCTTGAACCTTCCATGGATCCAAAAGGTGCCACGCCTCCGCCGTGCTGAATGTTTTTTTCCCCGGAAGATGGTGGTCCCCAACGGTGGGGGGGAGGTTCTGAAGGGTGGTGGGTGTCCTTTCGGCACTGGGCGCGGCGAATTCCTGAGGACTTTGCCAATTTCAGGAGAATCTCTTGCAAAATCAAACTCAGTTGCAGGAAAACGATCACACTTAGTGATAGGTATTGAGAGATCTTTGTATAAATGTAATAGAAGTATAACTAAAAATAGATCGAATATAAATAAGAAACTCAGCTTGTGGGAAGCGAAAAAATCGATACAACCACCAAGCTAAGCAAGCTGGTAAGAGGAGGAAGCCGCGAAGCGCCCGCACGAGTGCGGGTGTTCAATGCTTGTGTAAGAGTCTAAGAGTCATGGAACTTTGAACAAGTTATGAGGACATGCGTGCGATTTGCATACATTCCTTGACCCTCCCGCAACATGCGGCAGCCACTGTGCGGCTCACCATCATGCTTCCCCATCATTTTGGCGGAGAGGAGCGGATACAACTATTTCACCAGTTGTTGGAACGGTTTCCATGATGAACCAGAGCGCAACCCTCACTATTTCACAAGTGGGTCCCATCAACAACTTGATTTTACGTTGGAAACGCTCATCGAACACACACACGCACATCTCCACAGCTCCCTCGACCACAGTGATGAATTTTGAGGTCACCTTCTTCCGTCAATTCATGGGCTTGGTCGAAGCTTTAGAGATGGAGGGGTTCCTCGGCAGCGGAACGGTTCTTTCCCTAGACCCTCCTGGCCCATCCTGAAGGACCTTTCAACCCCCCCCAGGCACCCCAAGCTCCTGGGCCAGGAGCCCTAGGATTTCTCTTTCGCGAAGTGCCTTAAAGTTGAATTCACTCTGCGTCTTCCAGAGTGAATTCCGTTGGTTTGTGGAAGTCGGGTGCCGGGACTTACTTGGGGCGAAGTTCAGGTTTCTATAAAAAGAAGCCAGGCCTCCACTGGTGGGACACGTTGCAAGGGACCGATCAAAGTTGCGTTTTCCTCCTGGAGTACCCGGGGAACAGATGAAACCAAAGAGTTGAGCATTCCCTACAAGTCGAAGACCTCATTTTACTGGAGATGGTCATTGTCATACAAAACCAATACTTAAGGAGGTCAAGTCGACCAGGTTTCACTGGGGCAGACTGGACTTGGGATTTGGGTCTGCCGCTGAGCCTGGGTGGCTCAGGGTCTCGGTCGAGACCGTGCTCCCCTTCAGAGCACCCGGAGACTCAGAACCGAAACCAACTGGACAGCTATGAACAACCGGTGAAGATTGTTTCGCCATCTTCTAGACTATAGCTTAGAATGAGGCAATGAGGCACTTCTTTTTCCACCAGCTTCTTCAGTTCATGACCTTGGTGGGAGTCCTTTGCGGCGACCCCTTTGGCAGGTGTGTTCGTGACTTCACTTCACCCAGGGATGAAGTTCGGTCACGAACAGGAGAACCAGGCATGTGCCGATTGCTTTGTTGCAACTTTCGTGCGGAGCTACGTGTTCAGGAGGCACCCCCCGCCTCAACGAAGCAGATCCGAAATCGCATCATCCTTTAGGTTTACCAGGATCTCTCCACCTAACCCGTGTTCAGATCCCCAAACCTCCATTCCCCACCTCCCACTCCAACCTCCATCCCATCCCCATCTCCCAGCTCCAGCCTCTCCGCCGGACGAGCCTTCAGGATCCACACGGCGCCCTTCCGCGCTTGCATCGCCGAAGTGAGCCGCGAGCTGAAGGTCGCCGCGTTTGCCCAGCGGGAGATCTTCGACAATGTCCAGGTCGTTGCGGCGGGTTGTCCAGGTCGCTGGAAAGAGGTGAAACAGCACGAAGGATGGATTTTGTCATATGTATTCGACTCTTGATGAATGAAAACCCATCCCAATTCGTCTCAATTTGGATTGAACAGGCTCTTCATATGGGGGGTGTCAATCGAGAGTCTACATTAAGGTCTGTCAAGCAGCCAAGCATTTTTTGTGGGGGGGTTCTCGCACTGAACTTGTACTTGCAGCTGGACAAGGTTTTAAGTACCCGATAGAAAATGGGACATGACATATGTAATAAAAGGAGGTGTATAGTAAAAAGTGCCAGATGTACCTATATCGAAAATCAATTGGTAAATTGTACCCGTTTAAGGTACGAGTTCCGGGTCGACGGCACGTGCCGCTACAGGATCAGGTCTCTATAAAGCCCTCTAGGATCAGGTCTCTATAAACCCTCTGAGGCCCAAGATGGGTGGATGTGGTGGGTGGTATGGAATTTTGTAGAAGGGGAGGTCATTGAAGGGACCTTCAGGCAGATTTTCTTGGGGCTGAATGTGCTAACTAGATGGCAGACAGGAAAGATTTGAGAGGTCACATGAGCAGCTCAAGTATGCTCAATTTGGTCAAAACCTCCTTTTGGCCCATGAGTTGATCATATACACCCCAGAAGATTAACATGGAAGTTGACAACCCCTGGGTATAAAGGAAAAGAGTCTTCCAAAGGTCCATTCTCAGGTTCCATCTTAATCTTCGGGTGTGTAATACTGATCGCTCTATAGAACCCCTTGTTGTTGCCGCGCGCTCTTCCGTATTGAAAAACATTTCCGTTCGCCCGCACGGCTCAGTCGATCACCACGGCGAACGACGGAGCCTCCACGTCCAGGTGCTCTACATCCTCTCCAAGGGCTTGGTCGCGCTCAATAGCCGTGTGGGTCAGAACGGCGTGGTCTGGGGCGAGGACGGTCAACCCCCCGACCCCTCGCTCATCGAACGGGTGCGTCCCGTCAAAAACGAGGAAAAGGAGGGGGAGGGTGAGGGTCCGTGAGATGGTTGTGGGGGTCGCCATCCCAGAGGATCCATAAGTAAGTAAGTAAGTAAGTAAGTAAGTAAGCAAGCAAGCAAGTAAGTAAGTAAGTAAGAGGGGAAGGAAGCAAGTAAGTAAGTAAGTAAATATATGACCTACATTCACCACCTAACCACCATGTTTTTTGCTGTCCCATGGATCGTTTTGGGCATGGGATGTGGAAGTTAGAAGATCCAACCACCTCTAAAGCCCCGCATTTGCCAGAAGTTTGTTGCTTATTGTTTTTTTCATGACGATGTGTGGCTTCCTATGACCTAATTAGTAACACAATGTAACACACATGTAAACTTAAGTTATAAGAACATCACTAGAGATGGATGTCGGCCTGAAACCAGTGCCCCATCATCATACACTGAAACCTCATCGGAATCTGCCAGGACTTCGTTTTGTCGGACACTAGCCTCATCCGCCCGGTGGCGGGCTTTGCCCTGACCTACATCGAGGTGAGACGAGGATGAGACGGGTGGTGACAATGCCTTGAGTCGAAAGTTCGAAACCTGGGCAACAGCGATCGAGTGGAGGAAGTATGAGGACGTCGAGTATAAAAGTCTTGTGTTTCAAAGAGTTGTTCTGGAACATGAATAGCAGGATTCAGTCGTCTCTGCCCTTTCTTAAGTCTTGCAGACTTCTGGAGATCTCGGCAGGTCGAGAAATCGACCTGAAGACTTCAGACCTGAAGGGTCAGAAATCTAAATCGCCAAGGAGATGATGGCTCCTATGATAAACCCATCCTCCACCTTCGGCTCGTTGCCCGTGTGTCTCCCATGGCCCTTATGGCACCTGGTTTTTCAGCACCGGTGAAGCCATGCCCGATCAACGGAGCCAAAACAAGGAGGACTGATGTTCTGCCGGCCACGTGAATTTGATTGTGAGGTGAGCATCCAAGAAGGCAAAGATGATGAGATTGTCCACTCTTGCTCCTTTTATGGCTCGAGGCTTGGTATCATCATGTATCATCCAAAGGGACAGGTTCGGTTAACAAGGCAGGCACCCAAAGAATGGGGGCAAGGGAACTGTTATGCCAAAGGCCCCCTATTCTGAGTGCTTTTCGCGGAAAGTGGGGGGGTCACTCTCCTTTCATGTCAATACACATTTCAGCCACATCATTCATCGTGGGCGTCAGTGCCCGCGCGAATTGCATACGCAGCCATGGTGCGAATATGGTGCGTGATGAAGTTCACAAGTTCTATGTTGATCGGCGGCTTCTTTTGCAACTACTTTCTGTCAGATCTCTCTTCCTCGCACCCACTGGGGCATCGCCTAGCATCCAATGCCACCGAGAAGATGGAAAAGGTGGGCAAGGTGAAGATGAAGAGGCCTTCATTTGTGGAGACACCGAACTACAGCTTGGAACCTGAAAGCTTACGCAACTTTTCCCTCGAACAATGCGCCCCCTCATCGCACTCCGAACGCGGTGTCACGCGATCCATGAGCTCGGATACGGTGGTGGTGGCCTTGCCGCGGCCACACTGGCATCATGTCGTGTCGAGTTATGGCGATGATCATCCGACCAATGCCATTCGAAGGGAGAAGATCTGGGAAGGAGGCCTCACCTTCTTGATGACCTGGGCCCTAGAGGTCGCCTGTGGCCCTGCCACTCTGGCAGAAGTTGAGGTTCACATTTCTGGTCCGCGTCGATGTCCCATCCCCCCGTCATCATGCGAATGCCATGTTTTCTTTTCATCGATCTCAACAAAAGCAATCAGTATAAGGCTTCTCCGCGTGAAAATGCCAGTGATGCATATTTGTAAGATTAGCATGAGTGACATTTTTTTACTGACCAACTCAGTTACCCAGGCTCGCAATGTACTGAGGAACATGTTGGCCATAGAGCGAATAACAAAACCATTTGACAGGCGATTCAAACACAAGTGCATGTCAACACTGGTTTTGAGCCTTGCACGGCCGTTGTTTTCGCCACATCTAAGGAGTCTGATTGCTTGGTGGTGGATATTGGCATGAACATTGGCTGGTACACAGCGCTGGCGGCGGCTTTTCAGAAGAATGTCCTCGCCTTTGAGCCCAATCCAGCACCATTGGAGTTTGGAAAGAAGACCGTGCCTCGGGCCTCGGAATCGATCCGGCCCGGCTTGGAGGTGAGAATCGCGAGGGTCGGGTGGTGCATGAGGCGGGCCGTCAGGTGAGGCAAGTCATCACGTGACATTCGAAGGAGGTGCAGGTGTCCAAAAGACCCGAGCAGTGGTGTATAGAGACCATGGTATCGAGATTCTCATCCATTCAGTTCCGTTTTTTGGCCTCGAATCACTTGGAACTGAGGTTCGATTGAATGGCTGGAGCTCCCGCGTGCGCATCGTGAACGCGGGCCTCTCCCAGGACCGAGCGCCCCTTTACGTGGAGGCCTCCTTAACCAAGTCCGGCACGCGCGCGGCGGAGCGCCAGGCGCGCGCCAAGAGTCTGAAAGTGCCATCGTACCGATTAGACGACCTCATCGACCCTGGTGCAGAGATTTGCTTCTTGAAAGCCGACTGCCAGGGCTGTGAGGGTGATGCCTTTCTCTCGGGCAGCCAACTGCTGGGAGCTGGCAAGATCAAGGTGGTGATGTTGGAGTTTGATCATACGGATCGAGCAAGAGATGCCCTGTCGACCTTGCAGAAACTCTCTCCACGGCCTTTTCATTGTTTGCTCATTCCACTGGGCCTGACTTGCGAAGGAGAACAGATCAATGATCCGAAGCCCGGGCGAGTTGAGTTTTCTCCCGCTTTTGGGTCGGGTGGTTTTGCCATATCCAGGTGATTTTTTCGATTTTTTGTTGCCCTACAGCCCTTTCCGGGGAATATGATCCAGGTTCCTCAATTGAGCAAAGCCAACTATAGGGTCCAGGTTTGTGTTTTTTTTCTACTTGAGGTGCATTTCTTCAGATGGTGAAGGCGCCCTTTTTGGGGTTGTTTTTTTCAAGCCCCCTGGTGAAGGCGTTTCGGCCTGCTTAGAGAAGCCATGATCCAAGGAACAGCTCGAGTGTGCGAAATTTATGGGACGCCGTTGTGGCCAGCGTGATGGAAGACTGTGACGCCAAGAAGATTGATGAGCTGGCTCCCGCAAAGACCCCTCCAGGTGCTGGGTTTGGGGACATGCGATGTTTTGAAGTCTCTTTCCCCGAAACCATTGCATTTGTGCCCACGGCATCCCGCAAAATCCCATGGTCCCTGTCGGCAACGGATGTTGATGTTGCTGATGCCGGGCCTGGAACCAACCATCCTACACCGGGCCCTGGAAACGGGAGATACTATGGAGATACCCAATGTATCCCTACAAGTCCAATCTGACCCAGTAAAGCCTGGTCTTTTACCTCAGTAAGTATTGGTTTTGTATGACCATCTCCAGTAAAATGAGGTCTTTGACTTGTAGGGTATCTATACCAGAGACCCTGTGCAACCTGAGTTTTGACAGTAACCCATACGTTCAAGGGTTGGCAGTCCAAAACAGAGGTCGCTGAGGTCTGAGATGTGCCAGGGGTGGCGAAGGAGCGTGCAGCCTGCACAGAGATAGAGCGAGAACAGGAGAATATCCATGACAGGTATGTCCACATGTCAAATCATGGATACATGATACATGGCATTGGATATTGTAGTTATATATACAACAAACTAGAAACATACCTTATGTAATTAGTTATAATTATACTTATAATACATGCATATAGTACTGCAGCACAGTCTGCAGCACCTATCTCTATTGTTAACGTGGCGTTTGCGGATTGGACTGGCCCTTTTTGCCTTGTTCCCTTCAGACCATTTATACAGATGGGTCTTTGGTTCAACCACCGAGCGGAGCTCGCTTCAGGCTACTACACGGATCTGTGGCTCCTCCGAGCCGACGTCCTCACCACGCTGCGGGCAGCGGAGAGCTTCGTGGCGGCGGAGGGTCGGCGGAAGAGGGCGGCGAAGCAAAGCTGTAGCTACAGAAACTGGATCTGGATTTAAAGGGTTGTGACGTGTTCTTTTTCTCTTAGCTTTCCTTGAGAAAAATGGGATTAGCGGACCCGGATTGATTTGGAGAGCGGATGGTTTGTCCTTGAAAAGGTGTGTTTGATAGATTTCCTTTCCTTGTTGGGGGGAATTGGATGGAGTTTGGTCATAATTTCTATACAATTTGCATGTATTAATTTGTGCTGTTTTTGTTATTTGGTGATGTTGTGCATGGGCAGATATCAGACTGAGTTCGCGTAGAGGTTTGTGGAGTTTGCTTTTAGATAAGCGGTTCTGTTCAATGTTCCCCGATTGATGAAGAAATGTGTCCTCCCTCAGCTTCCTGAAGCAAGCTTCAAGGAGAGCTTCAAACCAACGTCGGACATTGCGATTTGCTTTGCCGTCCCTTTCGCACCTTACGTGACGCCCAGCGCGTGTGTGACACCCGCCCCAGCTGTAAGAAGATTCTTCAATGGTCAGAGACCATGTTTGAACTTCGCGGTGGACCAAAAGGAGCTGGTGGCACGGCCAAAGGCTATTGGAAGGAAGCGTGTCATGAGCAGGATTGATTTTTCAGAAGAGGTACCCTGAGGTTTGGAGAAATCACCTGAGGTTTGATTGAACAGTTCCTGGATCAAAATTGATCCTGATCCTGGCAAGCCTGGCCCTGCTCCTTTGACTCGTAAGAGCAAAAGACACACCGCGTGCGAACGATCCGTCGAGCGGCGAAGTCGACCGAGACTCCGACTCAATGAGCCTAGATTGGAGGCCGCTCGGTTGGAGGCCATCGCTAGAAACAAAGACAACAAAGAAAAGGACGTCTAAAGGACGTCTTCCCCGCCCCCTTGTGGGCTTCAGATCTTCTCACCCCGCCTCGAACTCGTCAACCCCTTTTTGTCCTAATCCCACCTGAGCGGCGGTGCCACCCCAGTGCGCCAAGAGAGGTTGAGAGATCCTAGAGGGCTCCTGTACCAGGACCTTTCATGGAGGGTCCAAGACAGGTGGTACATGAAACATGGGAGAAAAAGGGGCCCAGAACAGCCTTCAACCCCCTCTTGGCAGACCAACCCCACAGTTGGCCTCAGTTCGCGGGCGCAGGTCTTCTTCTTGACCCGGGAGGACTTCATGGGTGTCGTGGAGCGTCGCAAGGTCACCTGCCCGCAGCTGGCGCAGATCGTGCGCCGCTACTGCGTGCGCATCGCGGTCACGCGCGGCATCATTGCGGAAGCCAGGTGCGGAGTGGGTGAGGCCGAAGGTTGAATGGGGGGAAGGAAGGCAGGAGAGGTGGAGCATGGTGGAGCTGGAGGTGGAGCAAGCGGGCGAAGCTTGTGAATGTTGGTAGGTCCTCAGAGCTTTGGAGAGAGTTTTCCAAGAACTTCCAACTCATGAACGACCCTACCTGGAAGTCAAAATCCACCACTACTTACTTTGGGGGTAAAACGAGTTCACACTTGGACTCTGGTGTTTTGGTTGTTTTGAGGGTTAGCCGCTGGGATGATTCAGGATGACCAAGGGGGGGTTGTTTGCTGATCATAGCCCAGTTGAGTCCGTTTGGGTGTGCGAAATGTAGGTAGGCACCAGACACAGATTGGATAAGGGGATGCTCTTGATCGCTGCATTCTACTATGGCGGGTGACTAGACAAGGACTAGAAAATTGGATAACTTGGTTAACGTTTTGATTGGTGTCACGGTGTTCTACCATTCTCTAAGAAGGATGACCTGCTCAGCTCTTAAAAGGGTGACACACCACTCAACCAGAGCGGAGTTGGGTTCGCCTCACCGAGTTCTTCCTCGCCAGGAGGCGTGCGCGTCATCGCAACTCCGACATGAAGTCGCTGTTGTCCGACAGGAGCACTTACACCAACTCAGCTCGCGTGTCGGTGGATCACATGTGGCCGGTGGTCCCTGGTATGCTGGGCTGAGATGCCTTTGGTTCTGAAGTCCCAACCAGAACCATTGAAGTGAAGATGGGACGCCACCATTTGATCTCAGACTAAGATCAAATGGTTCATGGTTTTTGTTGGGGTTCTTCCATCAAGAGTTGTACGGTACGACTTGTTCTTCTTGCGCATTTTTGTACAGCGAATTCAGCAGCTTTGAAGTTTGGCAGCCTGCGTGCTTCAAGGCCTTCGTAGCTGCAAGACGCAGCTTGCATTGGTTTGCTCTGAAACGAAGATCGAGCTCCAGGGGGTGGCATCACATGTTCAAGGGATTCTTCAAGATGCACCCCCAAGTTCCTTCAATCTAAGATGTGGGTAACAGTGCTTATTAGGTTGAAAACTGTTGACGGTTGATATTTCATATCCTATAGGTTCATTAATTCAACAACATATGATTGTCAACGAATGTGTTGTGCCTTAATGGAAACGCCTTCTTCACAGCTCGCGAATCGGTTTCTTTTTTGGGCACATGAATTGGCCACGGTTTTTCCGACTTTGGCCGTATGCCATGGACGCTTTTTGGCTTTTTCTGCAGAGGCTCAGTGGCCGATGCGCTTCATCCCCGATTGCCAAGCTGGGGGGTGGAACGATCGGCACGTACGGAACGTACAGACTCCGGTGAAGGGTGTGACAACCCCTGGGGGTCCAGGGGGAAGGATTTGGCCTTTCGGTAGGGCAGTTCGGGAAATTTATGTTTTTTTGGCAAGATCGGATTGGTTGAACTTCTGGAAATATGTTTGGCCAAACTACCCCAACACTCACGTTTTGCATCGAAAGTTGGCTTCACTGCTGATCCCGCAGAGGCTCAAAGCTGATCAGCTGCACACCCTCGCCGACCCGCCTCCCGCCGGCCTTCGCCAATTAACGTCCGTTCCCACCGAACGGTGGGGCGAATTCGAGTGCACGGCGCATTTGAGGTCGGTCCCAGGTCCCCCGTCCTCATCGGAACATGGGAAGAATTGGATCTGAGAATCTGTGGTGGATTCTGCTCTTGAAGTTCATCTTTGAGGGGAAGGGATGTCCTCTTTGAGGGGAGGGTGGCTTGCAAAAAGATCGCAGATCGCCTTGTAAAAACGACATGCAGCATTCGCTCGCAAAAAGATCGGCTGAAGAGGCATTGTGGGACGACATGGTTCAAGGGCTTAGCCAAAAACGCCTCCAGCTGCCACCAAGTCGGCTGAGGTGACAGGTTCCAGCTCGAGAGCTGCGGAGTAGCATGCGCCAAGTTGGCAAACCTCATTGCAGTGCGCCGGCATTTGGCTGTGCTATAGTGAGTAGCTTTTCAGATGCAGATGGCAAGGTGGGGCAAACCTTAAGCTGAGGAAATGGCTCACACCAACAGTTCCAAATTGGGGTGCTATCCATGGAGGTAGTCGGGGTGCCCATGGTTCATGCACTGGATGAGACTCAACGCAACCCCGACATGTCACTTCTTGTGACCATACTTGCCCACAGATCCCCCCAGTTCATGTGTTCTACATGATGCCCACCAGCTCGAACCGAGCCGAGGAGCCGAGCCACAGAATCGACCATTGAAGCCATTTCGACACGTGAAAAACACACGGTGTGGAGCCAACACCCCTCCTGGCAGTGGCGGCCTGGTTTCTTCCGCCATGGCATCACGGGCATGGCGGGCATCACGTTGCTCAGCTGGAGGATGGAGTGCGGAGTGTTTCTCTCTTTGTTTGCGTAGACTGTGTTGGTTTGAAGACTGTGTAGACTCTGTCTGTGTAGACTGCAGTAGTCTGTGTAGACTGCTCTCTCTCTCTCTCTCTGCACCAGACCTCCTTGTGCAGTTTGGAGTTCGGCCCCCTTCGTTCGGAGAGGGCCCGGGGAGATCGAGTCACATCCGCCCCTGCGGACTAAAAACCATTCCGAATTGGACCTGCTTGTGTCGGAGTCGGGTGAAGTTTCTGCGCACGATGTTCAGTCGCGAGTCGCCGGGCTACTTATCCCATTCAAAGTCCTGTAGAACCCTACTTGGTTCAGATCTCTAAGTTCCCATGGCTACCTGCGCCTTCATGGGCATGACTTGCGCCTTCCTGTCTCCAGCAGTGAAGATTTGGTCGACACCATTGTTCCCATCATCCGGCCCGCTGTCTTCCCCCCTTGTTTTGGGGAAGAGGAAGCATTAGAAGCACTTGGTGGATTTCATGGCCCTGTCTTCCGTTCTACCCGAAGTCAGTCCCCGAACCCCTGCATAGCCCCACCGGGGGGGGAAGATCATCTCGAGCTCAGTGGAGCTCCCGCAGCGGTTCACGTCCCTGCGGGTGTCCACAAGAGAGTCCCACAGGAGCCCAAGGTCTGACCTTCCAAGTGGTGGTCTATCACTATAGCCTCTTGATATCGTAAGTCTTTTTTGTTTGGAAAATCGCTCTTCGAAAACCATGTTCTAGATGCATGACCTCCGGAATTGGTCCTGCGATTCGGCGAGAGGTTCATGGTCCGGGTGTCCCAAAACGTCCGGGAGTCCCGGGAGTCCATGGTCGGAACCCAGCGGCCTGAGGTCAGGTGCAGCAGTCTGTTTGGAGATCGGTCCGCGATCCTGGCTCCATCGCGGCATGGCGGCATGGAATTTAGGGGGTCCCAATCTGAGAGGATCCATGGTGGCGTACATATCACCGCTCTCTATGGCCGGACCGTCTCCCTCTTCGCAGGGGGCACAGGGCCCCTTCACCAAGCCCTATGTGTTTGAGGGCCCGGATTCCGCCGCCAGATCCCACCACCCCTCCAACGCTTCCACCCCAACTGATCGGTATGAGCCAGTCCGACGTCGCATCCGAACACCCGGAACCCCCGCTTGGACGGGGCGTTTCGTTCGGGGGCGGTAGTGGGAGGCGAAGGGATGTGGTTTGGGCTGGGAGGGGCCAAGAATCTTGGAGTTGGACGAACTGGAAGTGCTCCAAACAAGATCAAACAAGTCTACTAAGATTCATTCACAGCAAGCACTTTCTTCACGGCGCCCTCACCAATATCATTGGTAGTGTTTGTCCCATTCTTAACCGTCGATGTTAGAGATGGATGATGGAAAGGCCTGCAGGGCCTGCAACTGAACCATCCCAAAGCGTTGGAGCTTTCACATCTCCCTCCATCTCGCTTCCTCGTGGTCTCCACGGCACCGGTCAGGTTCCACGGCGATTCACCTCGACGCCAGGCGATGCCAGGCGGCCGGAAAGCACCGACACCCTGCACCTGGAAAACGAGTTGACTTTGTTTCATCCTGAGTCATTGGAATCTCCTGAAGGGGGAATTGAATCTGGAATCATTGACTCCAAATGGTCGGAAAAGGGTGTTTGGTCCCAGCCAGGGGCTGTGGATGTGACAGGGGCACCCCGACTACCTCCAAGTTCGGCACCCCGTCTTGTGACTCCTGGGTCATTGACTCTCCTTCTCTCTCATTGAATTTGGAATTCCCTTCGCAAGATGTTTGTTTTCCGATTCCGGAAGGCAATCCAAGCTGTCGAATACGCCTATCGGGCCGTTTTGGTTGACTCATGTGATGCCGCACACATGATGCACGCGAGTCGCATGATTTGAGCATGCCAGTCCGCGGAAGCTTGCGAGGCTTGATTTTACCAGAGAAACTGGGTTTGCCCCAGGAAACGCAAGCAAGAACATCACGATTTTGACCAAGGCCTGCAACTGAACCATCATGAGTCACTGGTCATTGGATCATCCGATGCTCCCTCCCAAACAAAGTATAGATTTATAATGATTTATATATCAGAGTCGCTCGAAAAGTGCGGGAGTCATCAACCTGCACCTGAGGACCTCTCAAATCCTGCCCTTTTTCCTCCTGCACAGGTCTTCCTTGCTACCCAGCTTCGGCTTGAGGACGCGGGCCTTTTCCACGGAGGAGCCGTGGTTTGGAAAACTTCGACGTCGCAGATCATAGCAGGGCATAGTGGCAGCTCCAAAACTACCAGAATTAGTTCGAACGGAAACCCATCGTTTTGGGAGATGAATCCCATGGTTGAGGAAACTATGTGGAGAGGACAAACCGCGCCAAGATCAAACCCAATGGGCGAAACAAGTCCAAGTAAGAGTACCACCAAGCTAGCGGGTTTTCACACCTCGATCCCAAGCGCGAGGGCCCATCCACAGGAAAATGGAAGCACATCCAAGAAAAGACGTTTGCATTCACCATGCTCGATCCCTACCACCCCCACCCCACCCACCGCCACCAGTCATCTTCGAACCACTCACGTCAAGGGTTGCGGTTTGGGCATCAATGCCCCCAATTGGGACGAAGAAAGGAGCGCCAAAATCAAAGGCAGGAAGACCTCCCAGCCAGTTCCATGTGGTGCTTAATGGAGGTTGGTGCCCAGAACATCTACTGACACCACCCCAACATGTGATCCCTTTGTGACTGGATCTCATTGAGTTTCTCCTTGCAGATCTCATCATCACCCATCCGACCCCCCCGAAACGCCAGCTGCGCCAACGTACGCGAGCGGAGTTTGACCTGGCCAGTCTGCCGGTCGAGGCCGGTCGAGGGGTGGGGTTGAAGGAGAAGCTTCCAGACGCCGCCAGCCAGGCGAGCTCAAGTGGGCCTTGGTGAGTTCGGTTGGCCACTGGTCACATGAAAGATATGAAAGAGTCGATGAACATCAGTTGACCCAGACACTCCATGCATGGAATATATCCCTACATTGCCGCACCCCTTGAAACCACCCCAAGGTCGCCAAATATGCCAGTCCCATGGAGTGTTTGGATTATAGTGCCATTTCAGGCCCTTGTGTGCAAAGCCCCAAAAAAAGATTGCGTTCAAGGGTGATCGTGAGGGAGATCGTACAGTCAAATGCACCTGTGAGATCACACCCCACCGGCCAAAGAGAGACTCCTGCGAAACTTCCTTAGTTTTGGCACTCCTGCGAAACTTCCTTGGTGTTCACATGTTTGTGATCCAAAGGGGCAGATTGAATTGAAGAGTTGCATTTGCACTGAATTGGGATGTTCATCCCAGTTTCTCGAAGCTTCAGGACGCCAAGAACGACTCACTGAGTAGCTGGTTTGGCTTGTTTGGGGCACTTTCGGATGAACCCGGGAAAGCGACCTTTTGAGGTGGTCATGCTCTCAGATGAGGAGGATGAGGATGACGATCTGGAGGCCCGGAATGGACCAAGGCAGCCGGTGCGAACTTGATGGTTGGTGTGGAACATCTACCCACCGGCGGGTGCGAACTGCTAGTCTGGGGGGGTTGAATCCTTTGAGGCGGGTGCTTTCACATGTAATTAAGATCATTCAATACTCAACAAGTTGACCCCAAAATGGATTGAACCGCCCCCCAACCCACCCGTTTGAGCGAGAATATCTCAAACATCCATATCAATGTTATTCAGTAGAAACTGGAGGTGCTGGGCAACGGGAGGACGGGACAGAAGTCAAGTGTTTTTCTTGATGACGTTTTGGACGGCACGGCATGTTTTGAGCGACTACTACCCAAGTGCTACCGATTCTTCTACCAGGAGACCCCTAAGGGGGTGTTGTTTGGACGCTAAGGGGTGGTTAACAGACACCCCTTACCACCAATTGGCACCCCTTAGGGTCTCCTGGTAGGTCTTCCCATTTTGCGCAGGAAGAGAATTTGCCGCCTTGGCGTCAGTGCAAGCCTCAAGCGATGACCGGGGGCGACCGGGCCATTTGTTGGGCCTTTTGCGTGTGCTTTTTGCGCCACGTGAACGACTTCTGGAGATTCTGTTCTCCCCATTCCGAGGTTTTTCCGGCGCTGGAAGTCGAACTTTATGTGAAGCACAAGAGTTGATAAACCCACCCCAAAACCTCCAAGAGTTTGCCAATATGGCCTACCAACCACCGCCACTGAATGTAGGCCATAGTTGCATACTATTGCATACTGTACTTGGAGCGTTTGGGCACAGGAACCATGACATTGATGGATTTCACATTGGTGCAGATTTCAGGAATCTGGGCTTGACTATGGTGAACTCAACATGCATTTCAGCACTGTTGGCGCTCTTGTGACATCTTTGACCTTGGGCAGCACAACCTTTGCCATTCATCAAAACTGGGGCCCCCAAGTCTTTGTACAGGCAGCTGACTAAGTTGTCTTTTGATTGTTTTGGATTTTAGCTTGGGGAAAGCAACTGTGGAAACTCTTCTCTTGTCCTAAGGGATCATGTGATCAGCCAGAACCTAGAAGATCACTAGCCCAACCGGATAAAGACTCATCCGAGGGGACGAATGATTTGGAGAGATGCCCGATTGCATACATCGAGCCACGGCAGAGCCTTCCAAGTTATGAAAAAGCTTCTTCAATGCCAATCACCTTCTCAGAGGCAGTCAGGGCGAAGGCGGCTTCGCCCCACTCGTGTGAGGTTGAAGCCCTGGCGTTGGCAGTGGGGCACCGAGCACGGGCAGACCGGAACGAAGGATTCGGGTTTTGCCGATCAGGTGATGTGGCCATGATCCCTAATGACCGGTGAAATTCCCTGGCAGCCAGGGGAAGCTTCTTGTCCCGGCTCCTGCAGCAACGCCAAGTCAATGCATCAAGGCCTTGATGAAGTCTTCGTGGGTTTTATGGCACAAGAGTGAAAACGTACCACTGAGGCCCCCTGAGGAGGACTTGGGCTGGTTGAAGATCTTCCAGCTGCCCAAAGTGTCCGGGCTGCCCGGACGGTCGACGTCGACCTGCACCCGTTTTGCTCGTCCATGTTGGTTCGTCCTCTTCGGTCACTCTTGGCGTCCCTGGGAAGGGGAATGGGTTTCTGGGTGGTGGTTTCAGATGTTCTTGTTTTCAACCTTCACTGGATGATTGAACCCACTGACGGTCATATGTTTCGTGAGTTCGAGCCACCAACCAGGTTTAGGTACGGGTCCCCTTATGCTACGCCACACGCGGCATTATCTATAGGGTGTAGACAACTACCGGCTATAGTGGAAGGTGGTGAAAGTCCTGCAACCTAACCATCATCATCCATTGGCCCCTGGCAATAGTAATGGGATACCCAAGGTATTACCCAAGGTATAGTGTTTTACTAAGGTTTCATGCTACAAAACCAGGTCAGCAATTTTTCTAGCCGGTCTTGGAAGTCTAGGGCACAAGACATTACAAGCGCCCACGAGGAGGAACATCAGGTGCCGTGCGCAATTTCGGTGGCCACGTTCTCGGCCACTCTCAGCCCTCAGCAAGTTACAAGAAGACCAGAGAACAAACAGAGCTCATGGAACACAGCTAAAGGTCGTACCTGCCAGACCTTTATGCAATTTTATCATAAAATCATCGTCAATTCCCGTTCCCCTTCCTTCATCATCTTCGTCACAACGTGCTCCTCTTTTCGGAACCGTTGCGTCCGCGTCTCATGTCTCACCTTCCCCGAACCCACGGTGTCTAGACGACGACCGTCGCCAGGCAGGTGGACGAAGCTGGGCGGAGTTACATCATAGGCCGGAGGGGCATGCCGAACGGCTCGCTCCGGCCAGGTCCGACCCCAAGGTAGCGTGGATCGCAGAGGAATGGGGGGAGTGGTGGGGGAAACCCACGAAAGAGGATGGAAGAAGGTGAAGCTTTTTTTGTTTTCTTCCAGGGAACCTGAGGGAGTCAGATGGTAGTCATCCTCCGCCACCAGGGGGGGCAGGTAATTTTCGTTCATGTTCCTAGCCGGAGGCTCATGGGCCCTCATATGGAGGGGTCCCTCCTATGGAGGGGGTCTGGGGTTTTGAGGGACCTGTCGGGCTGTTTGGAGCGTTTGGGTAGTCGTTTTCCATCCTTTTCCAGTCTCAGGGGCTGGACTGCACTTGGATTCGTCGATGGTCTCGCACGTTGGAGTGGTTCGGGGGAGAGTATACTGGGACGGGGAGGACGCGCGATCTCCGGGGTGGTGTGGACGAAAGGAGGATGAAACCGAAGTTGATTGGACTTGATCATACCATACATATATATGATCATCATATACCATGCCTCCAGACCTGTTGGAGGGTGCTGGTATATACCATATATCATCAATACACCCCCCAAAACATGACAAAAAAAAGGACTCTTAACACTGAGGTCTTCAGGAGCAGGAGACTGGACCTGGGTCCGGTCCTGGACATGTAGGGTGTATGGCATAGATTCAAGTCTGTCAATAGTACCAGGAGTCACATGTCGGGGTGGCGTTTAGCCCCAAGTGAGTGGAGTAGCTGGGCACCCCTAACCTCCATGAAGCACCCCGTCTTGTGACTGCAGGTGTGTAGTCATGTTTGGGATGGATGTTTCTCCGAGGACGTAGGACCAATGGGCGAACCCGGTCTTGCAAGCGATCGATCGGATGGGCCACTGGTTTTTTTTCTGCGTCGCTGGTCCGGACACCTATCGCCATTTGGTTTTTCCGTGTGCCCAACTGATGAGGCACCTCTTCGAACACGTCACCTGCACCACCTGCACCTTCGTCGCGGGCGCCACCGGCCACCGGGCACCACGTGCGTCTCGACCCCACCCGAACACGTCATCGGCGAAACGTGGACGCGATCCGTGCGCCACGGGTGCGGCAGGATTCTACGCGACAGGCATTTGCATCTTCTTCACCTTCGTGCTCGGACACTCAAAACGACCCTGCTGCTGAACTCTAGACAGACTCTTCGTGATCTGAAATGGTTCAGAGGCTTTTTTTTTGAGAAATGGTTCAAGCAGTTCAAGCCATAAAATCAGAATTTAAGCCATAAAATGAGGATTTCAAGATTCCTTTTCCCCAGCTGCTTCACGGCCTTTGATGTGTCTGTTCTTAGAGCTCTTTGTTCGTCTGGAAGCCGCCGCAGATCCAGGTGGTGGGGAAATCCGGGATCTGCCTTTGTGTCCTCAAGGACCTCTGATGCCTCAGCAGCGTGAGAAAAGCCGCATGGCCACAAGTGCTGCCCTCAAGAAAGATCTATATGTTATACATAATATGGGATCATTATCACATTATGGGTGTGTATTTCAATATAGGGGGACCTGACGCTGGCTGGGTAGACTTGATGTGGTGGTGACTCTTTGGCCGTCGAGCCAGGCTCAGTTCCCTAGATCAGCCAACAGACGCTGCTGCAGTCGCAGGGTTGGTGGGAAAAAGTTGAAAAATGCCCGCTGTGCGCAGAACAAACACGGACGGGCAAAATGACAGAGACCTATGGCCAAGGATAGCCATATCAAGGTGGATGCGTTTGTTTCACGTGTTCATCTCGCCCCCTTTCTTCTTTGTTTTTTTTTTCTCTCTCTCTCTCTCTCTCTCTCTCCCTTTCTCTCGTTCTTTTTGTTCACTTTAATTTATGGGTATTTGCCTGCCATGCTCTCAGAAGTGCAGAAGAAGAGCAGAAGGTAATGCGCGTTGATGGCACAGAGTCTGAACTTGTCAAAATTGGATGGGCCAAGAAGGCAAGGATGCCTGGCCTGCCTGGCCCGTGCCATGTCAATAACGAATCACCCGTTGTTTTGTCGGCTTTTGTGGAGCAGAGCATCACATCAAATGGAAGACCCTGAAAACCCAGTTGGCACTTGCCTATTCTGTTCGGGGAGTTATGCCTTATAGACTTAATCCGATCCTTGTCGGGTAAGATGCCGAATCATTTTGCCACCCAAGTTCAATCTCATGCCTCAACAAGGGCTCCTGGCCCACATCCTCAGAAGGTGCTTGGGGGTGTGGGAGGCTTTGGCTGGTCGAACTACCTTCTGCGGATGTGGGCCAGGAGCCCTACGAATGGATCATGTACTGAAAACCGGGTCCTGGAAGAGGCCCACATGGAACCTGAAAACCACTGGTTCGATGAAGATCCCAGTGCATCCCAGTTACCACCATAAAAGGAACCAGGGATTCGTTCGGTCTATGATGGTCTATGGTTTTTAGTCGAACTGGAACCACTGGGACTCCCAGCGACATATTACTTTGCCTGGATGCCCTGGGCTTGGGGATAGTCCTCCTTGCAGGTCTCAGGTCCATGCATTCAGGTTCCATGTCTCTTCGTCCCAATCGTCTCCTTCTTTGACCCCTTCGTGCGGCAGGTCCAGCAGTCCTTCCAGCAGTCACACCTGAGCAGTGCGAGCATCGTCCTCATGCGCGAGATCGAAGCGTGAGAGCGGACGGGGTGGTCAAACGTGGTCAAAATAGAGAAGCGCTTCCCTCCAACAAGAACGGAGTGTTTTACCATGTTTTATCGTTTTGCCGATTGTAGCAGTGGTTGGTGCCCCTCCATTCTGAGACTGTCCCGACTGTGCCATTCGCGCGAGCATGTCGAAGCCTGCGACTCATGATTGCCCTGGCCTAATTCCAACCTCCATTCATTCAATAGGCTTTATGCAGATAATATTCATTATATAATGCCATACATCTCAGCCCTTATAGAGGATCAATGGCTTTTGGAAGGCTAGGGTCCACGTTGATGTGAGGCTTGCCGCGGCTTGCGACGCTTCTACATGCCATGCGTTTTCGGACCGCGCCGTTGGAGAAATCCCGACGGCGAATGAACCACCGAACGCGCCGGTGGCCGGTGGCGAAAAGGGGACCCAAGGTCAGGGAGGGAAAGGGAGGGAAGGGGCCACCTGGATTTTGCTTGGGGAATTTATTGTTATTTTCCCTACTAGGACCCCATAGTGGTATATATGGGCCATGTGAGAAAAGCCTCTCTTGGTTATTGGAATCCTATGGATGAATCAAAGGAACTAATGGATTCTTAGGGCTATGGAATTGATTTCCCTCTGGAATCCCGTGGCTGAAAGCCCTTCTTCAGGAACATCTTGTTGATGTCCCAGCTGCTTAAGCAACTCCAAGGGCCCCGAAGTGGTAAGTAGCGTGGTTCTTAAACATGCTCTTCACTAGGTCGATGGATGTCCTGGACTGTCGGACTGTCGTGTGTTCAGGCACCTGGGCCAGGGATGATGATGGGCTCCAAATCATTATCATTCACTCCCCAGAAGAATCATGTTCCCACGACTCATGGGACAGCTAGGACGGACTGCCGATCTTTTTTAGGGTGGTTGTTTTGGGGGTCAATTGATCGGCAGTCCGTCCTGGCAGTGTCTGGGATGTGGATGGCACCATCCTGTTTGCTATGAACAAAATCATGGTCATCTGAGTCATCTGCACTCAGGTCCACCCGCATGAAAGACGAGACGACTCAAACCGTACTATAGAAGAGTGGGAAGAAGATGGATCCAAATACTGAGTTTGTAGGGATCCAGTCGTACCGAACCTCAGGTGATTGGAGACACTGCTATGTAGGTTTGGAGGGTCCAGTCGTACCTTCTGAGGTTCGGCACGACTGGATCCCTATAGGGGGTTGGTGCCTGTGTTTGTGGCACCACGTCGCCTGTGTGGTTTCAAGTCACGAAAACGTCGTCCTCCGAACTCTCCGGGGCCATGGCGTTCTCCAAGTCACAGGGCCATTGTCGCTCAGTTGGTCCCAGAGATCCTGAGATGAGATGTGTGTGTGTGTCCCTGACCGAACACGGTGGTTTTAGCAGCAGAACCACGGTGGTTCCCACGCAAGTGAGATCTGATATCTTCCACGAATTCATTATTCGAATTCTATATAGATGATTGATGAGAATGAAGGGGACAAATGTGGGTTGAGACAAATATACCCTATAATAATAACATCCATTGATAGCATATACTGCCTGGGCTACATGATTCGAGTATTTAGTTCAGGACGCGACATGATTCGAGTTGCATGTGGGGCTTTAAGTCACGTGCCTCTATAATCTAAGCTTGGTGGTACTGTCACCACTGCATTACAGCGATGTGCACAGGTCGCACAGAAGAAGCACAGGTCGCGATGGGGCAGAACTTGCGTGCGCCACTCATCCTCCTTGCTCAAGCTGGAACGATGCGAGGGGTCTTCAGTAGCAAAATGCCGATCCATTGGCCGAAGATCAGTGCAGCTGAAGAACGCCCCAAGCCAGCAGGAGGTCATCGCACGAAAGCAACAGAAAAACCTTGACCGCATCAGCACGATGACCAGATCAAAGGTCTCCCGAACCGAGACAGCTGCCACCGGGCAAGCATTTTTGGTGATGGCGGAGGCCAGGGTCATGGCATGTAGCGTGGCCAACCTGTGAAGATCCTCCAACACTGAGAGAGAGAGAGAGAAGTAGAGGTCTTGAGTAGGGTCTTGGACGGTCTCAAGTCTGTTCTCAGCATCGAGAGGCGATGATTCCGCGAGATCTCCTAGATTCATGGAGCTATATATATAAATGGAAGTATATATAATAAATGGAGCTATGCATTTGATAGATCCGGCTAACGTTCTCCTTGTTTATACGTATTTCACCTTTTCAGCAATTTCGTCCACAATCGACATCTATGGCCATGCGATATGAAGGAAGAATACGATGGGATGAGTCTTTCACCTGCACCGAAGTGGATGGTGGCCTCTTTGTGAAAGATGGTCATCCAAGGGGCCACTGCCCGATGATATCAGGGAGTGCAGTCTTAAGGCCTCACTATCTCAAGTGGGTCAAGCCCAAGGTTTCTTTGCACTCCCCTCCGCCCCACGCCCAAGTCATTGCACGGCCGATTGGGCAACACATGGCAACATACACTATAACTATAATTGGTATCACGTGATGAAGAAGGTCTTTGGGGTTGGTGCTAGCCCTGTGGAGAAGGTGGTGTGAATACCAGTTGGGTACCCTGTGAAGGCTAACTCTTTGGCATCAGATGCGACCCTCGGTTGACGTGTACCGACCCCTCTATGATCGGTCTGACCGGTCGACCGCCAGGCCGAGGCCGCTGCGCCCGACGGCGCTTCCGGCGCGTCTTCGCCGGTGGAGGCGCCGGGGAAGAGGCTCTTGGAGCTCGGAGGCTCAGAATGCTGGCCGAAAGACCGTCTCCGGGTCCTGAAACCATGGTGTTGGCGCGTGGTGTGACCGTGGTGTGGTGTTGGCCAAACCCACGGTAAAAAACACATGACCACATTACCCCAAGTCCAGTAGAATGAGAGGTTGCTCACTGAACTCTAGAGGAATGGCAAGCCTCTCGCCCAAAAATCAACTGCAAGTGCACCCAGACTGATCTTGAAGTCCATTTCCAGCCCCTCCTCAGGTCAACTCTCTACAAAGAGGACGTGCTGCTTGATGGGCATTCTTCAGGAAGGCTAGCTGCGGGCGGGTCAAAATCTGTAGCCCTGGCCACCATGTAGCTGGGCCTTCCAGGAGATCAACCAAGGTATCCTGTTTTGACCCACAGCCGCAGCTGGCTCTTGATGTGCTGTGGCCGAGGCATGTGTTCAGCCCCATGCAGTTGACAGAGGAACTTCTTTAGTTCTTTTTGCCAGACTGTGTTGGTGAAAGTCTTGAAGTCAACAGAGCAGTGGCCGTCTTCAAGGGAGGACAGCAGCCACCCAAACAGCTTGCTGCGACGGGCCTGCCGGCTGAGGCTCGTGAACGAGCACACTGCCGTTTGGGGCTCTTTGTTTGACCCTGAGAGCAAGCGATGGGGCTACAAATGCTGCACCTCGCCTGAGCAGTTCGGTAGGCCACGCCGAGGAGCTCAGCCCAAGGGACTCGCTGGTGTGACTGGACTCTCCTGGGCCCCTCCCTCAACACCTTCTAAGAAGGTATGGCTGGAGCCCTAGGGTGGGGTTGTCCATTATTCGAACAGGGAGCCGGAACAGCCGTGGAGAGTCGCGGTGCACAGCAATTGGAGATGAGACGTCGTTCTCCCATCGGCGTGGGATCTACATCATCTCGTCTTTGGGCTCGAGGGGTGGTTGAACGGGGGTCAATGTATATAGCATATATTGCAGTCCCATGGGTCGTGTCTGGGTTTTAATTTATATAATTGTGCGATTCCACCATGTTGCCTTCAAGACGCTTGTTGCTTGGTTCCTGCATGCGCTCCTTTCTCAGGTAAGGTCATGGAGAAGAATGGCATGTGCTTTGGCTCTGGGGCGAGGTTCCACTTGAGCAGTAAGTGGATGCGGCATGCATGGAAAGTGCATGTAGACGACACGCAAACACTAGTCTCTAGTAACTAGGGAGGTTAGTGAGCACGCTTAACAACTCTCTCTTGCACGTTGCTCCAACTGCAAATCAAGAGTTGCATTTTCTGAAAGGGCTTGGCAGGCGCTTCTCCCTCACAAGGGCTCTGTATACCTGAATTGTTCAACTACTATATTATATATGCAGAAGTTCCGCCTTTTCATCCATAAAACCAGCCACAAGGCATGAAATGTTGCATATGTTTGGAAGATCCAGGCATGTTGGTTCAAGGAGCCATGGCTGCTTGAACCGCTTTGACCAGTGGCAGCTTCCACCAGTGGCAGGTTCTGCTGTGGGGTGAACTTATTAGCACAAACAGATGAAGATTCCCGCAGAAAGCCTCCTCGATCACGGCTTCTACCGAAGTTGTGTAGCGTCTTAGCTTCGGTGTCACCAAGTCTCCTGTAAAACAAGGCAAGCCCATCGTTTTGGAGGTCCAAACTCAAACCCTATTCGGATCCTATTACGTACTTAGGACCTTTGCCCATGGACCCACATCTACCATTTTCGCAGCAGGACCATCTCTTCATCTCTTCCACCTCCACGACCCCACTGAGACCCAGCGAGACCGGTGTGGACCGCGCACCGCGCACCGCGCCGTGGACCGCCCGCGCTGCGGCGCTCAGGTGCACCGCGGAGAAGGCGCCGGAGCCGGAGGCGAATTCCAGCGACCTGGACAACTCTCCGGACAGTGAAGACCTCCTGGGGCCGCTTCGGCGGCTTTCCGTGGCGGTCGGATTGGGTCGATCCTGGGGCTTGGTTTGGTGGGCGGGTTTGGTGGGGGGTTGGTGAAGAAGAAGGAAGATGCTCTGGACAGGATTCACTTCTTCTGAACCTAGGTATATACTGTATACGTGTTTGTGTTTTTTGTTTCCCCATTGGGGAGGGTGAATGGATGAAACCGAGTGCAAGTGATTGAAGATGAGAGGGAACAACACTGCCTTACAGGACCTGATTCCAAATACTAAGAACCATTGAATGCGTCAATGGGGTGGATCACCATGTTGTATCCATTAAATAGCATGCAAATCCCCCCGGTCATGCCATGTTGCCATGGCAAGACTGCCGCACCGAGGCCGAATGGCTTGGAATCTTGGCAGCCGCTCCTGCAGAAGGGGGCCAAGAGGCACCGGTCACATCTCTGGGGCCAAGAGGCACTGGTCCACCACCACTATGAGGTAAAGATGATCATATGCCTGGAACCTGAGTGACCTTCTTGTCATTTCCTATCAGAACCATGGCCCAAGATGGACTCTAAGGGAAACAATCGTTGGCCCATTGATGGTGAAGCCTCAAGCCTTGCCAGGGCATCAGCCACAAGTCTTACCCTCGCAGCTTTGCAGCTCGTCTCGACCGAGAGAAAGCCCTAAGGAGATTATCGACTGGAGCAATCCGCCACTGGAGCTGAAGTCTCGTGAATCCTTTAAGGACCAATCCGAGACCGGAAGAGTTCGAGAGCGAAATGAAGACGACCCACATCACGAAACGAAATACTCCGCAGGTGTTTTTTGTTTTAAACCTTCTATAGGTGGTGAGATGTTAAGAAATGATACGCTATTACATCTCCATGTCTATATCACCTATGAAATCACAGGGGTCCACCCCTACTATAAAACGTTTCATGGCCCCACTGACTGGGGGGTGGGCCCTTAATTTTATAGTTCAATGCTGTTCATATGTCTTGGAAATTTTGATCAGAAGATTGCAGACACCGGGTTGCCCACTGTTTTTGTTTGGGCAGCCATGCATAGGTGTAAATGGATTTATGGCGCTTGATGGCGCTTGGTTTGGACGTGAGGGTTTGTGATTTTATGGTTTTACAGTTTAGGTGGGGTACTACATGCATTTTATGTGCAATAGGGGGTTGGTTTCACCATTTTATACTTATAAAATGAGTGTCCAGACCCTCCACCCTGAATTGACACGGGGATGCTATTACTCTATAATCTTAATATCAAAAATAAAATATATAACTGATGGTAGAAATAGCATGAAATAGCTTGTTAGCCTTACATGGTCAGTTGCCAAAAAGAAGCAAAAAGAAGAGTTCGTGCCTCGACAACAAGCGAGGATACCTGTTCCCTTTGAGCGACCAGCAAGGCCAGCTGTCTCTTTGAGATGCCTTCTATGTTCAGGTGAACCTTCGAAGAGCAAAGGGGTGACCTTCAAGGTGTGTTTGGAAGTGCCTCAATTTGGGAGTATCACACTTTCGCCGGGTACCTCGCCAAAGATTGGCATGAACCCTAAACACCACTGGCTTGTGGAGGAAAGCAGCCTTTCAGGGTGCCATTGTCAGGGTCCGAGTCAGCTTCCGGGTTTTTCTTCGACCGCTATAGGATGCCACTGCTTGGGTCGAGCACTTTGTCCGCTACCACGTGGGGGCTTGGCAAAGGAAGGCGTCGCGCGACGTCACACGGCTTTTCTTCCGACCCTGGGGAGAAGAGAAACCAGCTATGACAATGTATATGTGGGGGTCAAAACCCTGGCTATGAGGGTCCATGAGCCTTTGGATGATCGTATCATTACAACTATATAGGTCACATCCTTGAGAAGGGCTCTCCAGAGACTGACCCGGAGATGAAGGCAAAGCAGCCTCAACCGATTTCAGGCCGCCACATCATTCGTCAATCCCAAACCATCCAACCCAGAAGAGTCGCACTGAGGTCTCCCAGCTGCATCCTTCAGAGTCAGATCTCAGTTTCTTCGAACCCGGAAAAACCCAGCAGTTTCCTACGGAACTGGCTGGTGCCAGTTCCATCAAGTTGGGTGCTGAACGAAGTCGGGTGCCCCTGTCACCTCCACTCACTGGAGCCACATCACCCATACCCCAACCACAGGAGCCGCCCGAGCTCGAAATCCGATTCGCGCCTGCGGACTCCAGGCCGATGAGAACTACAAGGGCTTTCCGGATTTGGCCGTGACCACCTTGAAGCCCTTGCTGCAGCCGTCGCGAGAGGCCTTAGACGCCGGGACGGCAGCGACCCGTTTCATGGGCACGTCGACCTGAAGTAGCGGCCTGAAGTATCACTTCAATCTTTCAGCACGACCATCATTCCAGAGGTCGCCAGGTGCAGAAGCGTGTTTGACATGTTTAAACTACATGGCTTTTCACTGATGCCGCTCTTCTTACGCGCAAATCCCTTCACCGTGGACGCCCTCGAAACATGCCGTCGATGTCCGAAACCCACCGCGCCGTCGCGTCGCGCCGTCGCGCCGCGCGGTTGTGCGTCGCTGGTGGCCAAGGAGATCCTGATCCGCCGCTTGCACAACCCCAGGGAGTTGGCCACTCGTAGCGCGTTTTTGGAGCACGCAGCGGCCGGCGGCGTTTTTTGGGTGGCGTTGTTGGTGGCGATGTGTTGGGTTTTGTGGCGGGCTCCCTTCTTGAAAGACTTTAAAGATGGGCACGGCGGCATGGTATTTGATATGATTTTTAGGAGGGGGACTCCCAACCTGGCTGGGCCCAACCTGGCTGGGTAGACTGGTCTATTTCCCTGCCAGCGTGGCGATCGAAATGGATTAGTTTCACAGGGAGGCCTGGTTGGTCACCCGGGCCTCCCTCCACCGGAGGCCCAATAAACTGATGGAGAAACCCCGAAGCGTTCACGTCTCAGCGGGGTTGGTGGGTCTCAGGGGGGTCGAAGGTCGAAGGTCTTTTGAGGATTGCCAGCAGAGGTTGAAGAACCCTATAGACTATCCTATAGGTACTCCAGTAGGGTCCTATAAGGTCACTTAACCTCTGTAGGTGTTGGCTTGACCTGAGATTGCAAGTCTTTGAGTTGGCGGAGTTTCATGGTGGCACAGACAAATGGTGCCCACCATGGAGGTGCCACCGCAAGCCGCTGACCCAAAAGGACCACTGAAAACCCTGTTTCTCAAGCAAAGCGACTGGCCAGAGTTGATGCCAATTCTTCCGTCAGGATCGTGGTGAAAAAACGGTGAGACGAGGAAGAGAGACCCGAGCTGGCATGGAAGGACGAGTGCAGGAAGAGATGCTCGGCACACGCGCGCACGCGCACGGTCGAGGGAGGAAGGGGGGCAAGGCGTGGGCAGGGGGTGTGAGATCTTTGCTTCGTTTTCGTTCTCTTGATGCGTTGCTTGCCATCTCATTGCCAATGATCATTGCCTGTTTGTTGGGGCGAAGACTCTTAACATGACCTCTTCCGGCTTGAGCTCTGTTCGCAGCTTGGCTTTGATTTGGCTCAAGCTCTGTGAGAGAATCAGGGTGGAGCAACCCCTCTCTACCCCAGCGAAGACCGCCTTCATTTTCATAATGCTTTTGTGGAGTCTCAATCTGAGTCTCTTGGTTTTGCTTCATCACCATTTTGGAGAAGGGTCTTTAGTAGCCATCCTTATCCACTGTTACAGGGAATGGGAGATATACCGTCTAAAAGATTTTGAAAGTTTGAGTTCTCCTGGCTCGAATCCAAGGTCTCCTCGCTTGGGCTTCAGCTGCGGCCTCATGGCCGGCTTCGACTTGCGACGGGGAGGGTGACGACTCGTCCTGTGGCTTTGGGCTGGTGCAAACACGTGCAGGACGAGCAGAGCACGGGCGAGAGGCTGCTCGCTCGCGACAGCGGCGACCGCTGCCCGCATGGCAGCAACGGGCCTACTTGGTGGGTGCCAGTCACAAAGCTGGGACGGAAATGTTGCACCACATCATGAAGTGGACTTTTGATGTTTTGGGCGGTACGGATAGTTGCGACTACGATGCCAACGGGGGCCCAATTACCGCCTATTCACCCATGCGTGCAGAGTGTCATTTGCACCCGGCAAGGCTCCGTTTTAGCAATCACATCACGGGTGAGTGTGTGAAAGAGTTGCGCGCCCTCAGTGCACCAGTTGGTGGCTTTCGTGGAGTGATGATCATTCGAGATCCGTTGGACACCTGTTTTTGCATTTAAGGTGATGCTTTTAGATTTTCCCTAACTATGCATGGGTGAATTATCCCCAGATGTTCCAGCTTCCTTAAGCACGTCCAAGGACATGGTGCTTTCCTCATATATCTATCACCATCGAGGCGGAGAGATCTACACCGCCTTAGGCATCAACATGCCGGTCATGCCACCCGAGGAGGGAATTCCCGAGATGGGGAATCGCATGATCAACGTGATCATCGACATGGCCAATGCCTACAAGGCGGCCCAGTCCGACATGATGATTATACGCTTCGAGACCATCACGAAGAACTCCGCAAACTTCAACCAAACCATCAAGGAGCTGGCAGGGTTGTTTGTCTTCTTAACTAACCAGGAATTGCACACGCAAGCATGTTGATGGCTGCGGTTGCTAGTTTGCTTCATTTGCCACAGAGTGGTAGGGATTTGGGCAGATGTTGTCGTCTAACCAACCTTGCTTGACTTGGGGTACTTGGCTTTGGTTCTTGTCACACCTCTCGCGACTTTGTCCTTTTCATCCCTAAAAACGTTGGTGTTTTGAACACTACGTTCGGGGATCCTGGCATCGCTACGAAGGGAGTTAGAAGCTAACATGTTTGAACTGTCTTAAGTTGCCCGAGTCCGGTGCCCATCAGGACATGGTCCACTTCCTGTTCCAGGACGAGATCACCCACGAGCAGCGCCAAGCCATCCTGGATGCGACTGTGGCCGAAGACATCAACCGCGCAGACAAGGCGGGCCTGTCTTGGCAGTACCAGGACGGCGGCGAACCAGACCACTCAAATGATGATGCCGATATGGTGGAAAACGCCAAGTACTTGCACCTGATGAACCCGGACCTCTATAAAGACTTCGTGTACTACAGGCATCTACTCGGCTACGAGAAGGGCACCTACTCGTAGATCCCAAGTTCCGTAGCCCTGACTATGAAGTCACACAGCCCTGGCGCCTGAAGAAAAAAGGGCGCGTCAAGGTTTTGCGTGGTTTTGAGGCATGTTGAGATGTATGATCTAGATCTATGATCTGGCAGATCGTGAGCTCGCCCTCCTCCCCTTGGCTGTTAACTCGTAAGCACTGAACATGGGAGTTCACTTCGCGCCCAGGAGAAGTGCTTCTCGGCCGAGCTGGTGGAGCGGACCGGTCCGAGTCTGGTCGGCCGTCTCTGGGGGTCATCCGAAGCGGGGTCGCCCTCCGATGCATCCGATGCTTTTGGTGGGTCTGGTCGGCCAAGGAGGCGTTCTTCTTTTTCTTCCGCTAAGAAAGCTTGGGAGATGTTGGGAGGGCCGAAACGAACGTCACGAACGCAGCTACGAACGAAGCCTTCCTTCGAACGCTCAGCCTAGAGGTCCCCGTGGGCCCTAGGGCTCCAAGGGACTCAAGAAAAACACCTCGATCCTGTGGACCAGCGATTCAGACGGGTTTGTCCACCCTTTTGGGGGGGCCACCACCATGGTGGTGAGGAAGTGCGGTGCAAGTTCCATGGAGCGTTTGGGGGGTTCCCCAAAGTGCTATGAATGAAGTGGTTTCTCCATCCTATTGATAGAGGACCTTTGCATTCCCAAAGATCCCAAAGGCCATGCCATCCACTGAACGTGAGTCAGAGATGATCCTCCATGCAATCGATCAGTCATATCTCACTAGTCCGGGCAAAGATCCATTGGAAGACCCCCGAGATAGACCAAAAAGAACATCAAAAGCTCTCGGTGGCTCTGGCAATTCGTTGCAGGGCTTTGCTCTTTGTACGCTGGTTTTGGAGTTAGATGGAGTTAGTGAGGTGTGATTTTATGATCGTTTGAGATTCAGATCATTTATTTTATGAATTCGCGGCCGCCTCACTTATTTAACCTTGGAACCCTTAGCAGGTGGACTCAGGCTGCTGCACGATCCCTGCAAAAGAAAGCAGTTGAGCAGTTAGCAATGCATTCGAGCAGGACAACCTTTTGAGCAAGAAGATTTGCAGAAACTCTAACCGACAATCCAGATGTTTTCAGGGGGAAGAGATGGCTTAAGAGAACGCACCTTTGAAGGCCTCACCGGCCTCACCGATTCCATGTGTGGGGTTTAGACCCCCAAGTGCGCCGGCCCAGAACCAAGAGCACCAAGCGAACGCTGGAACAGCATGGAACAGCTGGATGCTGTCCCTTGATCAATACCACCCCCCTTACATGACCTTCCGCCAGGTCTTTGGGGGAGATGTCTCCTTAAAATCAACGGTCAACAGGGATGCAGATGCATGAAGAACCAATCGGAACAGCTCCAACATCTTCCAACCTCCAGTGATTCATGCTGTATCATGCTCAAATCTCGTGCATCGCTTCCAAGAAGGGGTCTGACTTCCCGGGGTTGGAAGGCCTTTCCTTCCAGCCGGAGCCCGCCCTGGGCGCTTCCAAACGCTTCCACCGCCCAACCAAGCGCCATTCTGCTCCATGAAGATGCTGAAGGCTGCCAGGCGCTTGCCAAGGAGAACAGGTTCTGAACGCTTAGAAGCTCCAAGCTCGGATTCGGCTTCTGGGAGTGTTGCTTCGTAATTATACTCTCTCAGCGAATGGAGGGTACGACCAGTACGACCGCTCAGGCCCTGTAGGATGTCTCACTTGCTCGCAACTGAAGTGCATTTGAGATCAAAGCATCCACTTCACTCTTGAGGACGCAAGGGCGCACCCGCAGAGGCTTCAACAGCTGCAGAGAGTCCAAGCTAAAGCGGGGACCATATGAGGACCAAATCCATGCTCCATCATCTCCATCCCTCAGGATCTGGCAGATAGTTTTGCATCCGAACTGCGCAAGAATGCACAATCACTATAATAGGAACCCACTGGTTCCACCGAGGGGAAGTGTTTAGAGCACTCTGAAACATGTGGATGAGATCCTTCCGAGGTCCTAGAGCAATTGGACGAGATCGCCACTAACAGTTCGAATTTGGACTACCTGGCTGCCAGGGCGGGCTACATGAAACTGACTTTGGGCACCTTGGCAACCAACAAGGGGCATTCAAAACGCGCGCGCCCACATGCCCCCTTGCTGTGTGTTGCAGCGGGTAGCGGTGGGAACCAGTGAGACATAGCCAATGAACAGATGGTAAAACCTCTTCGATGTGGAATATGTTCAACTCATGCATCAACAGTCTACATTGAAGAGCCGGTCTTTCAAGAAGTCCACCGAACACCGCAAAAGACCGGCCCCGTGGCACCCGCGAAGCTGGGCCGAGCAGGCAACAAGACCTGGAACAACACCTTCGTGGCCCATGTGGCGGCGTGCACCATGAAGGGTGCCCGCGAATACCGGCGGAACCGACGCTCGACGGACGGAAGGGATGTGACGACTTCCTCTTGACCGCGAAGAGGGTGGGACAGGGCACCGAAAACCAGCGTCGGATGGGTAGATTTGACTCGGGTCAGGCCAGTGATATGGTGAAACCATACCGGTTAATGGTCTAACGTTGAGTATGAAATTCACCCCAGTGTTGGGCTGCTTGCATGGTGGCCGCCACCTGAGTTTGCATGCCTTTGATACATCCCAGCTGGCCCAACCTGAGTTTGGACCAGATTCCTGGCACCTTTGCAAGTCTTGAGGAGATAACTACAACACCTACGACATGGACCCAGACTCTCAGAAGTGCCGAAGTCTGAATTCAGAGACTGTGCCTGAGCCTGGCTGCACGACACCTGGCTCCAGACCTCAGCACAGGATGCCATAAGACTCTTTGAGGTGGCGGTGTGTCCAGTGAACCCTGCGATTCGAACCCGAAAAGAAGAAGACCCTCGAATCGATAGAAATGCAGGGGAAACGGTTGCAGTGGTTTTTCTTTTGTGAGACGACTTCGGGACGAGACATGCTCGTCAGAGAGAGAGAGAGAGAGAGAGAAGTGTAGAGCTCTACTATGCCCCACTCAAAATGTATTGGAAACCGTGTCCAGCGCCGCCACACCAGTTCCAACAATTCTTTGGATGGTCCTTGCAAGCTGGGGTGAACAGATGTTCCATTTTTCTGCGAGGAGTTGTTTGCAGGGGCAAGTGCCTATACGAGGAGTTTTTTGCAGGGGCAAGTTTCTAATATGCAGTTGGTTGCTGAAAGATGTTGAAAGAAGGAGCGGGGGCCTTGACTTAGGTACATGCATGCCCTCCTGAAGCTGGTTCAGTTAGCCCAGTGCTTGCGGCCCAACGGTGATCAGTCGAAGAACTGCGATACTTGGCACAACGGCGGTCAGCGAATGGTTGGGTTCAAGTGAATTGTTGGCCCTGCTACGGGTCAGAAGGGGGCCTGGGGTTGACAAAGCAGAATGCAAATGATGCATATCGATTAGCGTGGATGCGTTTGCATTATATTCTTTGTTATATTCTTTGTACTATGGATGTGACAAAACCAAGTCACCAAAATGAACAGAATAGACCATTGGAGAGGTCAATGGTTTTGACCCACAGCCATATGTGAAGACAAATTGAACGATCGCGACATGATTGCAAACCTTTTGGTGGTTCGCATGCTGTTGGAATCAATCTTGCTTCAGCTAGATGTTGCAATTTTTGCGAGACCCACTTGAAGCAGGTTGCGGTTACCTGTCTTTTTCTTGATTGATGATATATGTTCCTTTTAATAGTGACCACTACTGCGGCGTGAGCTCCCACCCACTGTCGCTTTTTCCCAGGTCTTCTGAACCCGAGTGAGTGAAGGTCACTGGGCATGGTCCGCTGCACGGCTGCAGGCTTGGTTGGGTTTGTTCAGAATCAAGCTTCTTGAGGCGTAACCCATGGAGATTATGATGATGTCATGCATTTCTCCTCACCTGAAGATATCTAAAGACCCGCCATCAGCCAGATCTCAAAGTAGCTGCGGCAGGAAAACGGGAGGGGAAGATCATTGGCTGCAGGTTTTGCCCCATCCTCCACCATCTTGGAGAGATCCGAACCTTCTATGGAGGTGTTGGGGGTCTCAAATCCCTCTTTAAGGGAACAAACGCTGTTTGGAGCGTTTGGGCAAGTCAGTCGCCTTTGCGGGCCAGCTGCCGGCTGCTGTTTTTGCGGCGGCGACCACGGCCCGCTTCGATCCTCGCATCAGCGCAGCCAAAGAATGCCATAGTTGCAGCAACCTTGTGAGCTACCAAAAGCATTGAATGGATCAACTATGCATGTGTTCTGGGCACTTGCTCTTGTATCTTTAACTCATTTTGCACGCATCTTGGCTCAAGCTCGGGCGTGGCAGACACATTTATTGCTCGTCCCCGCGGGCGTTTCTTTCCCCTAAGGTGCTCCACAGGTCTTTCCAAATCTTCTAAAGGCTTCCACGCCACGGCTTTTCGACTCCCGGGTCAGCGAACCGGCTGATTTTTCTCTACGACTTGGCCCGGGCCCAAGTGGGAGCCCCGAAACCAACGGCCGCGGGAGCGGGGTGTTTCGCGGTAGAGAAGTGGTGAATGGGACTGGTCCGGTTTCCACCACATGTTTAAGAACCTTTTGGAACCAGGTGGTGGTTTCGATGAGTTGATGGAACTTGATGAGTTACTTTGACATGTTTCAACCTTTCACTTGCGTCACTTGTTCAGAAATCCGAGCACCAACTGATCACCCTCCGAACCCTCCGTCTCTGGGCTCAAGAGCCGAAGCCAGCGCGCGCCACGCGGCCCGGCCGGCCTTGGGGCATCAAAGCCCTTCCCCAAGGTGGGTCAGGGCGTTGGTCCTTCAGGAGATTGAGCTGACTTCCAGTACCTTATGTGACATGACCCGGATGAGCTAGTGGATGAGCTATAGTGTATATAGCTATTGTTTCTATAAACAGCTAGCAGGTAGATCATCTGGATGGGACCGTGAAGAGGAGCTCTGTCAATGGGAGCCTCCAGTTGCAGCTCGCCTCCTATCCGTAGTGCTGTTTCCTCTCAACACTTCGATGTCACGTCCTCCAACAGCCCCCAGGATGACCTCCGACGGTTAAAGGGTTTGATGGTCCAAACAACATGCTCAGTCCAACAAGATGGCTCAAAGCCCTCCACGTGGCAAGGCCTCAGGCGCAGAGTCCGTCGCCTTTGGCCAACCTTCCGATGAAGAGGTAGCGTTCGCATCCGATGCGATGCTCGTTCTTGGCTCCGTGGCTGATACTCCTCGGATTGGCGCAGTTCTTTTTCTCCGAAGAAGCGAGAGAGCTTCGAGCTGTGTACGCCTCGCTGTGTGCGCGTGCACGCAGCCTGGTTCCTGGGTCCACTGGTGCCCTGTTGTGCCCGGCATCGGTGTCCCACTCAAAGAGACCAACCTCCACCCGAAAAGGAGCCGACTTCCAAACAGCCAGGTTTCCGAACAGGTTGCAGGGTGAGATGGCATGGACATGCATGGAAAAACTGGCCTTTCTGGATGATGACCTTCTTTCCACTGTGGTCCACGCTTTCTCAGAAGTCCACCCCTTAAACCCGTGGGCGCCGTGGGGCCCAAGTCGCGGCGGCACCCGAGCTGAGGCGATCCTGGCACTTCAGGTTGCTTCGAGGAGAGATCGATGTGGTTTGGCAGTTTTCGAAGGCATCGTTTTGGCGAAGGGCACGAAGTGCCACACGGTTCTATAGGGGATCATGTGATGTTGATTAGCTTTGTTAGCATCCTTGACTCAGCAACAGGTGCATCATGGTGCATCCCTGTGTAAACAGTATCTGCGTGACATGAACGTCACATGAATGAAAGTGAGGCCTCCCCGAAGGACAGGTTCAGAAAGAACTCCCTACACCTCCAGTCGTACCTCCTCAGGTTAAACATGACTGGACCCGACAATGGCACCCGGACCCCGGTCGTCCCACCGAACCTCAGGTTCGGTACGACTGGAGGCCTAGGGATTTGTAGGTTCTTGGTTCCCATGGGTTGAATGTTGATTGATCTTCATGGATGCTCGTTGCTGCTGACCCACGGGGTTCCTCAGATGCCCGTGAAAACCCGACGTCCGCCGAGCCACTGCAGCATCTCCATGTGGACGTCGAGTCCGCCAGCTGGAGAAGAAGGGCCCCTGCACGCCAGCTCGCCCCTTCTCCACTCACCGGAAGGGACGAGCAAAACCACGCAGAAAGCATGAGGAACTCCTGAGCCCACACGCGGTCCCTTCCCAAAACCTATGGGGGTTGCTTCGACCCCAGATTCAGGTCCGACCAACTATGCCAAATTTTCTGCCAACCTTGGCTGATTTTGATGAAACATGATGAAACGACGGACATGACTGTCACAGTTGGAAGATCCAGGTCGACCATGAGCGTTCCGGGTCTTTTCTGCTCCGATGCTTGCCTCTTCTTGCTCCTCCCATCCTCCTTCCTTCTCCCCTCGACCTCGTCGCAGGACCTTTGAGGAACGAAGCGTCAGAGACCTCCATGAGTGTCATGGCACCGGACACGACCGAGAGTAGCGTTCGGTCGCGATGTGCGAGCGCCGGTGTATTCGGTCGCGACGGCCCGGGGAGAGTAGAAAATTCCCTGAGAGAATGTCTACTATGGTGGGCCCCCCAGCATGGATCTAAGGATTTTGCACTACAGATTGCCAGGTTGTGTCCATTGGCTTAATACCTAGGGAACCATAGAGAACCCAAGATCGCAAGCCGGAACGGTCCAGGGTACCCAGTTCTTCCCCGAACTCGGGAGCTGCTAGAGGGAGTTGCCCAAGCACTGGCATCGCCCCCCCAACTCGATCATCAAAAGGGATCGATTCCATCAGGTCGAGCTGGCGTTGGGTTGTCCTGCTGGGTGTGGACTTCGGTGAGATGGACTTCGGGGTGGGACTTGAAACCGTTTTGGAGAAAGATCCGATGGACGCTGCCAGGGGGATGGATGCGAATTGGGTCGGTTCGCACCCACGGTACCGTGCCAATCTCGGCCTGCACGTTTCCAGCAATCCAATTGGATCCATTGGGATTGCCCCGTCCAGAGGACACCATCATGCCTTTTCAGGCAGAGCAGACTGTTTTTTGGGGGTCGCCGGGGCCAAATGAGTCGGTGCAAGAGCCGGTTCCGAAAACCAACGCCGAACCGGCATGTGAAAACAACATCTTATTAGTCAGTTGCTGTTTCCACCTACTGACCACTGACCGGCCAGTTTGATATATAATCTATAAATAAAGCACCTGCCCCACCCAAAGGATGGTTTATAGACCCCCCCTGAATAAGATGTATTTACCTAATAACCACCCCTTGGGTGGTGCTGGTATATTGCAGTCGATCATTCGGTCGACGTACTTTGAGGACGTCTTTTGACCCGGAGAAGTAGGCGCCGAGCGATGAACTGGACGCACAGAGTCTCCAGAAGTGGTCATAGTCATAATTCTCCACCACCACCGGATTCCCCAAAAGCACCTATCCTACCCCAATCAAAATCAATGTTTAAAGCTCTCATCACCACCAAATCAACAAAACCTCATCATGCATTCTAGGCCTTTTTGAGGAATCACTTCTAATTATATTGGGTTGGAAGGCCATCGCTGCTTCGCCGATGCCCGATGTCGCGTCGGGCCCGGCAGCCGCGTCCGAGGCACGGCTTGCTTCCCGAGTCGGATGTCGCGGGCTTGCGCCTCCGCAGCGACCCTCGAAGCAAAGCCGGTGGTGACCGGTCGGTGGACGTTTGGTCGGTCCAGACTGATCCAGGTCGACCAACCTGATCTGTTTGTGACCTCCTTAGGTAGCTGGTAGTGTTGTGGTCATTTTTGCATGACCAACTCCAGTAAAATGAGGTCATTGACTTGTAGGGGGAGGTTTGAAGAGGTCACAGTTCCGCGAGGAACAGTGGAAGTGGATGGGGCCAGCTGGTTGGTACAAGGAAGATGGACCGCCGGTCCCTTTTGATCGGAGGCTTTGGCAGATGACATGGCCTCATTTCGCACGACCAGAAGAGATTCCTTTGAACATATTTGGGGTGATCTTCTTCTAGTTAGGGGGGGATGCTGATAGCACCGTGAGTTTCGGAGTGGGAGCAAATGGCGCAACTGGGTGCAAGGAAACAACATGCCCTGGAGAAAAGAGCTTCTAGAATAGTGAGACCCTCCAACCAAGAGAGCGCGCCTTATTGACACAGCCGGGCGTTGGCTGATTCGAGCTGGTCTTCCCTCAAACCTCGGGCACTTGGAGTGTCTTGGAGCAGGTCGAGTTCGCCAACGGACAGATTCACCTGAAAGAAGCGCCAAGAGAGCGCCACCCGGTGACCATGCGCCACAGACCCCCACAGACGGTCCGAGGTCTATATCGCCCACAGGAGCTCGGAGCTGGTGGAGGCCAAGGGCTCTGAAGGCCAGAGCTGGACACTTTGAGAAGGAGAGTGAGCTCTACCTACTCTACTCCACCTGCGAGTGACAGTACCTCAGAAAATGTGGAGTAAAAAGCCGTATATCATGACATCGTAGCTGTTTTTTTGGTTCGGGTCATGTCCTATTTTCGAAGGTACGAACGAAGTCAGGTCCAAGTACTTTGCTTGGTCTGGTTTGGACCCAGGTCTTAACCTGGTTTGGAGCTCATGTGAGTACAGTTTTTGGATTTCCGGACATGTTTAAGAATCTTCATGTTTCAGTCCCATTGCTGGGGTAAGGGCAAAGGTTGCCAAGATGGGAGTGAACAGTCGATGAAGCATTCCCAGACCATCCATGGGACTGGCATAGTTACCTACATTGGTGTGGCTCACCTGTGGTCAAAGTATGTAAACATGCCAGTCCCATGGATGGTCTGGGAATGTTTAGAACTGGTCGGTTGGGGACTGCTACCTTGGAGCTCCATGGCATCCTTCTGTGGAGGCCGGGGAGGTCCTGAAGAGGAAGCGCAAGCAGCGCCAAAGCGAAAGCCATGGAGGCCAGGCGCAGTGGCGGCGTTTCTTCATAAACCTGTCACCGGTCACCATCTATGGTGAAAGAACCAGGGCTGACTTTCGAAGGAGCTTTCCTTGGGCTAGTTAAGGAGCTCGGAACAGCATGCAGCATGCAGTAACTGCAAATGACGTGGCACTGTCTTGGAGACCGACCGGTACCAACAAGGATCCCAGACCAAACACCGGGCTTCATTACATCATTTGACTGTCCCTACCTCCCTGGTAGGTTGACCTCTCCAGAGGCATGGCGTCCCATGTCCTCACTGGTCAGGCTCAGCAGGACTCACGTGCCAGATCACTTTGACAGTCGCGACTTCGATGAGGATAGCCTCGAAAACACCCACCGTGGAAGAAGCTCGGTCGCGCACCGCGTGAGTGGGTCGCTAGGTGTGTAGAAGCTGGTGATTGGTACGGTATGGCCATTCCAGTCCCCACAATTCTTGGGTTAGTTCTTGGGTTGAAGCCAGTGAAAAGCCATCACCCTGCCAGCAGCCATTGGTCCTTGGTTGCAGGAAGGGTAGTTGGAGGGAGTGCATCATGGTCTCACTCTCACTACTATGGCATATGGTCAATCTTAGTTGTGGTCAAGGGTAGTTGTAGACACCCCGCACCTTAGAGACTTTCATCCTCCCTCAAAGCCCCTGGACTTAAAGCAAAGAAGAGGTTTTGCTTCGGCTACCAGGCCCATGCCGTATCCTCTCAGGACTACTGACGGGTTATCCCAAGTCAGAGCTGCTGGAGACGGCCTTGGGCATCGGCTTCGCCTTTCGCACGCCCCGGGACAAGGTCCTGTCCGTAGCGGCGCTGCTGGCAGTGCCTCGTTGCTGTTGAACCCATCATGTAGACTTTTGGAGCATCGGAAAAACAGAAAAACATATTGGTTTTACCTGCCAAATGCGGGGTCTTATTCATCAAGAGTCTCCATTTGCACCGCAGAAAGGATGAGAGAGTGGTGCTGGAGACTGGTAGATGTGAAGTCCTGTAGTGGACCAGAGACGGATCAGCTCGAATGTGGGCCAAAAATCGACACCCAGTCCACGTGCGACCTAGGGGGCCTTAGTCCACGTGCGCGCTGTTGCTGACATGATCCGTTTGGGCTGTTGCCTCGATTTGGGTGTTTGGAGATTTCGGCCTTTTCTGGCTTCAAGTGTGTTATATAAACCTATATATATAATAGGACGCCAGAAAGGACTGGCAACCTGTAAGGGAAGCATGAAAGACTGGCCTTTTCTGGCCTTGCAACCAGGTCGCCAGTCTTTCATCCATCTTCCCTTTCAAACAGCTCCCAACTGATTGAGACCCACCCGGTCGTGCGTTGACTGCGATCGAACCCATACGTGGTCAGCTGTTGACGTTCGATGGCAGGTGTGATCGACCCGATGTCCGGAGCCCACCCTGGGGAGGTCCATTGAACACCACCAAGCTTAACGACCCTAGGGCTCCAGTCATACCGAACCTGAGAAGTGAGGAGGTACGACTGGAGCCCTAGGGTAAGGGTACCTGGTGCCAAAGGAAGCTCGGGTTCTCGAAGTTGGTGCTTGGTACCTTGGTGCGGACGACGCACCGCGATGGCCTGGTGAGCCGGTCTGGCCTGAGGCCAGTACACCCTTGGCCGCCTACAATGCATCTTGTCTGACGGAGCTGAATTCAAGTAAGTGGTCAGGTGCAGAAAGGTTCGGCTCAGTTTCCCTCAAAGACGGGGCAGAAATCAGTGGATGTTCCGATCAGCCAGGGAGGAATCTGCAGATCGGGAAGGGGAAGGGGGGGAAGGGGGCAGTTAGGCTCGGATTTAGTTGATCTTCTGAGTCACTGGTGTCCACCACAGACCTCCTGAGGTGGCATCTTAGAAGAGTATAAGTATGGATGGGACGTTGTGGAACTGGTGGTTGGCACGTTCAGGTTCAATTCCGACTTGGAGCTCCTGTACCCATGTCCAGAAATTTCCCTCACTCTTCCTCCAAAAGGCTCATTGAACTTCGAATGGAGAGTGCACAGATGGTCGTTCGTGTCCCAGGACTTTTAGATGGCATATACCCTCCAAGTGTATGGCATATTTGATCGCTATGTCATGCCTACAGCATCTTCAGTTCGGGGTCACCTGGCCGGAAGCCCCTACACTACTTAGGGATCTCCATTGGACACCCCGAAAGAAGGTCCTGGTATGTGTATATAGAACAAACCTTACTTTTGTACTTTTTCATTGCTTTTTTACCGCAAGATTCTTGAACCACGCGAGCAGGTGACTTACCACTATGAGAAGTGGCGGCCGACCTATAACAATGGGACGAGCCCCTATGTGAACTGGTGTGAGAATTCCACCGTCGACTGCTTGACCTTGGAGAATGCCACCATGGGCGAAGCTCTCGCCGAGATCGCGCCCCGGCCGCGTGGGGTGCGCCGCGACGCGTCTTCACGTCGTGCCCACCCGGTGGACGAAGAATGAACGACGACACGTGTGGTCGTTTGACTCGGTGTTTCGGATTGCACGTGAGGGTGATGATCATGACAGGCAGAAGGCGGACAGGAAGGGTGTCATGGACCGAAGTTCCCCTCGACTTGGTGCCTCACATGCCAGCGCAACGCCAATGAATGAGCAGACCTACCATCCCCAGACCCGTGAACCAGACAGATTCAACAGAGGTTCTTCAGAACCAATAGACTTTCCCAGTTGGGTACCCCAGGTGACGGGTCCTAGTTCAGGTTACTTCACCTCTCTTGGACTCCGGCTCGATCTCCAGAACAATTTGGAAGGAATCCTCTATCAGACGATCTATCACAGAGTTGGGTGTTTTCTATGTGTTTTCTTTATCCTACAAAGTCACAGATGATGGGGCTACCCAATGAGTCAGTGGATCACCAATAAAACCCTGTGAGTTTGCGGATGGGGACGCCCCCACTGGACAATCGAACATGTAGGAAGTTCGATGCACTTCCGAATCATTCACCTTTCTCTTCAAACGGGTCGCCCGTGTGTGCGGTATCCGTTTTTTTGACACATACATTTGCAATTTCAGGCGTGATTTCAGGAGCCCTAATGTTCAATCCAGTTGCCAGCACCACCACTTCTTACTCAGGACGGAGGTGGGGACCCTCCCATCCTGTCACTGAGCACCCAAAAGCTCCATAAGAAGGGTCCGAGATGGTCCGGTGGCGGTTGCGAAGCGACCATTCTGTTTCACCATCCATGGGGCGGGCCTACAAGGCGTGGTTGGAGGGGTCTTTTTGGGGCTTTCTCGACTTCGTCCGCCCCTCAGGAGGCCTCGATCTTCACCGCGAGCCGCGAGGAGATCAAGACGGCGCGCACGGACACGTCCGACCCGGCCCGAGGTTCCGTTTCGCTCGGCCGTGTTCAAGTGACCGGAGGGTGGGGACGGTGGGAGACCCCAGGACGGGCCAGACACGACACATGGGACTGCGTATAGCCTACATGGACCCCAACCTTGAACCACCCCAATCAATGTATGGATTCCAAAAGAAACGCCAGTCCCTAGACCCCCTCATCGTCGTGTCTGGGACCTCCCTTCTACTCGACCCGGACGACAGACCCGGACGACGACATGACTCGACCCTCTCTCAGGCGGCGGGCGACCACTACGTTCAGGACCACTTTCTGGGACTTCGTGAATCCACCTGCGCCCGTGATCGATGGAGGGCGGGTGGTGGAGTGGTCACAGTGGGGGGGGGTGAAGGACGACCTGTCTGGGCCTGCCATATGCGGCCCCAGCAAGAGCCACCCCCAATGTAGGCATATATGATATATGGCAGTCCCGGTGGAGTGTCTGGGAATGTTCAATCAACAGTGGGACACAGAAGTGTGGCATTGTCTTGGAAAGCCGAATGGGATTACAATACCTGAAGTCGTAGCGACATGTAGGGACCCTTCTGATCCACTTGCACTATATATGGCAGACAAGTCACTCATTCCAAGGCTATCAATTGAGTGATGCCGCTCCAGGGCCCGTGATTGGCCATCCTGTGACCCAGTAAATGGAAGCCCAGTGCATCCCAGTTACCACTATATAAGGAACCAGGAATTCTAGGTCTATGGTTTTAGTCTTTGGAGCCCCTGGTTACCAGCTATAGTGGTAACTGGATGCCCTGGGAAGGTCGAACTACATCTACCTGTTTGGCCTCGGTTTTCGTACCGAACCTGAGGAGGTACAACTGGAGGTGTAGGGCTATGTTGCTACATGTTCCTACTCGCGGCCGTGGATAAGCTGACAACCCTCTTTTTGCCGGGCTTGGGTGTCCTACGTGGGTCTCCCCACTCAACATGAAAAAAGGTGGAAGGACCTCAGGACCTCCGTTCTTCCGGGCAGGGAGTCAGTACCAAATCGGTACCGAAAGCTGGATCCATTCCACTCCGGGACCAGCGGGATCCGGTCGTTCGGCGTTTGCAGCGACCCACCCTGAGCGTCACCGGAACGTCGAAACACCACAGCGCGTCCAAACACCCAGATAGGACGCGTGTGTTTTTGTGTCCGGTGTCTTCCACTGACGACCCTGAACACGACTAGTTGACGGAAAGCAGTCTTCCAAGGTGCCACCCAGACAGGGTCCATGTGAGTGATCTGGGGTTTGCTGTTCAAATCTGGATCTAAACCCTAAAGCCCTAAACCCTAGGGCTTGTCAGAACCAACTTGAATGAGCTCCACCCCCGCCCAGCGAGGTGAGAACACCGAAAGCACCGGCGAGCGCTGCTTTGGAGATGAGGGTGTGGCCATGTCCTTCTATGAAGACGACGACTCCAAGATACTAGCGGCTTGGGCTTTGCACCCGAGACATGAAAGAACCGCACAGAAGCTGACTGGGCCACTTGCAATTATGTCCGAATCAAAATCAGAACTGCACAGAGAAGGTGGATCGTCTCTGTATTCCCTAGCAACTTTTGCCAATATTTGCCATTTATACTTTAAATCTTTGAATGGATGGGTGGCGTTGTTTTTTTGAGGATCAATTTCCAAAGTGGACTCCAGCAGGGTCAGCCGAGAACACGAATCGCAAGTGGACACCGATCAGAACTTGGAGGCCCCTTTTTTCTCGTGGCCACCGTGTGGCCATTTCTGGGGCACTTGGGATTTCCATGCCATCAGAGTTTACAGCTTTCCTCCCATGTTGTTGACAGATTTGTTGCATGCTTTTGCCTCATACTCTTCTTGTCAGCAGCTTCCCATGACCCGCGTCGGCTTGGTCGCCCCGTCTCCGCCGTGTCTCGCGCCGCCATTGTCCGCGGGCCACGCGGAACGCGCGGCCGCTGTTCCTGCCGGATGGCCCAGGTCTTTCAGGCAGGGCTCGGGGAGTCGGACCGGAACAACCTGCTTTGGCAGAACAAGGCCTGGATCATCGAATCCTTCGAGTGGCCCGGCCAAGACGACGAGGTCGACCACCGGGCGTTCTCTCGGCCCGTTCTTGCCCGGAACGCGGTGTCAGCGCCGTGTCAGCGGGATCCGGGAGCTCCCAGCCAGCGAAAAGCCCTGGGCCCTGGACCCAAAGCAACACATCTGGGTGACGGTTCCGAGTTCTGAGGGTCGAAAAACCCTAGCGAATCTGAGAGAGCTTAGCCGGGTATTCGGTGTGTGGAAAAATATCTGTTTCAATCGGCTGGGGTGTCTGTCTAAGGGCGGCCATGAAGGAGCAGTGGGTCTTGAATGCGCAGCAAGCTTCAAGCTCAGAGATATCTGCGCGGAGACTCGCTGATCTCGCTCGTTTTCCAGACTTGGGGACGGGAAGGGGCCAAACACGTCCATTTGGAGTGGCATCACGTGGTTCCTTTTAATACCTTTTAATGATTGTTAAAGTTTTTTGTTCTCCGGGATTCGGTTGGGGTGGTCCAAAACGAGGGGAGTGTGCGAATGATTCTAAACAGCCCTGAGACAACTGCAACTGTTTCATAACTTTGGGAGGAAAGACAACTTTTTTGAAGGGGAAACTGAGGAGTCGCTACTTGAGAGTCCCCGTCACCGCTTGTGACACGTCGCTCTTACCTTTTGCATTCCTTCCGGGCGTTAGTGGTGATTTGCAAGTTGGGTGCCCAAAAAGAGTCCACAAGGAACATGGGGGTGTATTGCAGCAGATTTGTCACGCCAACAACTTCTCAACAAAGAAATCTGTAGCAAAGAACTCGGCCACCCAGTAAAGCCCTATAGATCGAGCTAAAGACCCATTTCAGAACCCCTTGCCGTCGCAGTGTTTTGGCAGACCAAACCCCAAGCAGTTCCAAGACCTACCCAACCAGTGGATGAACTTTAAGTGTTTATTTGTTTGGAGGATTTCCAACCTGAAAAATCGGTAGAAAGTTCGGTTCACCGGTAGTTGTTCTCAGGGAAACCGCTCGTATACCAGCTCTTTCGTTGGGATCCTCCAAGAGATCCTCGCCGAGCAAAAACCCGAAGGAACACTGGCCAAATCGGAGCTCCGAGCCTCCGAGCCAGTCTTGCCATCCCATATCCATCCATTCGGAGCACTGAGGAAAGCGGCAGACGCTTACGAGTTCCCCTTGCGCTGTGGCTTCCTGGATGAGGCCTACTCGCCCATCATCGACAAGTCGGGCCTCACCTTAGCGGTTGAATCGGTGGCACAGGCGAGGACGTGTATCGTTTGCCGGGCGATGACTACTAGGAGCAGCGGACGCTACTAGGGGCTCCATTGAAGTGCCCACGGTCCGTTGGCCCAGTGTAAGTGGGAGATCTGAAAGAAAAAACTGTAGGACTTACAACCGGGAGATCTTGGGGAGGACTTACCACTGGGAGATCTTAAGAGATGGTCTTAGCATTTGGATCCATTTGGAGATCAAGAGGTGAAAGGTCACTTAGGAATTCAGACCCCAGGTATCCCCAGGTGGTTCTCTAGCGGCACTGCCCAACCCTTTCCACCTCTTTCTGAACGGCGTGCCGCGTACCCAATACCGAGACCACTTTGGAAGACGAGGGCCTTTGGCCTTTGATCAAGCTCATCGTGCGCGAGCGGCTCACAGAAGGCGAGCGGTCGAAAAGCCCTGCCGACCGACATAGCAGTGTTTTAGAATGTTTTAGCTCATTCCTAGTATCATCCCCAGGGCATCCAGTTACCACTATAGCTGGTAACCAGTGGTTCCAAAGACTAAAATCATAGACCGAACGAATCCCTGGTTCCTTATATAGTGGTCACTGGGATGCACTGGGATCCCTTTAGGTTTTGCTCAGCAAAATCTCAATTGAAGGTGTTTTTGCCCTCAAGAGTGGACTCACGTTCCATGGCATGGTCCCTTGGAAGACTGCTTTCCTTTACGAAGAGGAGGTTTTCCACTTGCGAACGGGAGTCGGGGTGTAACCTGAAAGACGTGCATGTTCAAACAGAACCTGTGCGACGTCTTAAGCATTTCCACCTCAGCATGCCGCAGTTTGTGCTTGGAGCGCGTTCTTGATTCTTGTGCTGAATTTTGAAGATGAATGACATAGTAACACAGTACTGCTTATCAAGGGCCCTTACGACTGGAGCAGTTGAAACAAGATACCTGAAACTATTTCCCGTGGTCTAAGGTGTCGATAATGATATATTATATTAACTACCGTTTGAAATCATTTGATCATCTGAGTGACAATGGCCCACACGTGTTTCTGAACACACCGTTTTGTCAAGGCTTCTTTGGGGGAAAAAGCTCTTTGCAATCACATGAATGTGATTTTTTTCTTTGAGTCACGTTTCCGTGGTTACGTGGATGGCATGGTCCATTGGAAGACGCCTTTCCTTTACGAACCGATTGAGCAGGGGCCGCCAGGATGGCGCCCCCCTCCGCGTTGACCTGTGATGAGCGCTTCGCGCTATACGCGACCCGTCCGATGGTTCAGGCGTCACCGAAGCGAAGACGGTGTATTTGGCAGGGACAGGCTTGGGCGGGTCACATGCCGCCCTCGTCAGCATGTGGCTTAAGATGCTTTCTCCGCAGGGGGTGGAAGAAAGGGCCTTGGGGAAGGAGAAGAAAACGTGGAGCCCACTGGCTCGGGCCAACTGTGGTTTTGGTGGTTTGTACGGTACAGGCCTAACCTTTTTGGAGTGTGTTGTTAGTGTTTGTTTTTTTTGCTCCCCTAGAGCTCCAGGTTTCACGCCCAAATACACATCCAGTTCGGCCAGTAGGGGCCAGTTCCTCCTAGCTAGATGGGCCAGTTCCAGTAGATGTTTCCTTCTTGCAGATTTCGAGCTCCCTCGATCTCCACCAAGCGGAGTTCCTCTGCGGCATGGCAGATTGCGGAAGTTCCCACCCCGGTGATGCTGAGGAAAAATGAGGACAAATCCTATGACACGTACTTGATTGCAGCCCCTGGCTTCCAATGCATCGCGCGGGACAAGTACTCCAAGGATTTGACGCCTTCAGATACACATTCCCAGCTCATGATCTATACCCATGTGATGGACGCACTGGCGGGGAGTGTGGACCAGCAGTTCAGCAGCAGATAGTCTGTTGATTGATGCGACCTGCAAGGTGCTTGAGGCGTCATGGCTTTCCACGGGCGTCATGGATGTTCCTCGTTTGGCCCAACACCGAACCCATCCAACTCAATTCCAACACCTGGTGTTACCACTCAGGTCATCATCCGCCAGGTTATCACGGATCATTGCCGTTTTGGTACTCCCCCTGCAGATGACCGGGTTGGTCTTCGGAACATGGGTCGAAATCCAGATTCCAATGTTCATTTGCAGGTGGCTATATGATGTAGTAGACTCCACCCCCCACAGATGTATAGCACCCAAAGGCTCAGAAAGGACCCTCAGTTCGCCAGGGTTTTGACCCTCACAGCTAGGGTTTTGGACCTCAAACATGTAGCAGTTGTTTCGGGTCCAGGGTCACCTCTGTGTCGTCCGCGAGTCTGAAGGGCTCCCCACCACCGGGTCCAACGTCACGCAAACCGCGTCGCAGCGCACCGCACCGTGACGCCCGGGGGGGGTGACGACCACACGGGCAGGTACAGCGGTACCGTGTGCCACTACGGCCTGAGGAACTTCACCTCCTCCGAGTCCTTCTACGCACCGCGGCCGTGGTACCGGACCAACGACCAGGGGAGGGGGAAGTGTGGGGTAGACGAAGGTGACGAGGCTCATTCACGAAGTGGAGGGCGTTTTGGCCCCTGGTCCATTCTGGAGTCCCTTCTTCACTGCCAGCGTTGGTGAGTCAGAAGGGTACGGAAGATACCGTCCAACATGAACGCCTGGAGGTGCTCAAGCGGTGTAAGCAGATCCGAAGAAGTCGCCCTTCAAACCCGAAAGCAGAAAGGAGACGCATTCTTGGGCGGCTCTCATGGCACGCATCTGAAATGGTGAGAACCACCAACAACACCAGGAGTCACAATGTCGGACACGGAGTTTGCTTTCGGGTCAAATGATGAGTGGATGTTCTGGGCAGTCCTATCCTGCAAGTTCGGCACCGCGACATGGAACTATAAACTCCCCTGGTGCTGGTGGCGATTCACATCGAATCAGAGGTCAGGTCATAGCTCATGAGGTCTCGCGGAGATGTGCCGACCGACTCCCACGGAGCATCTGGACCCCCCCTGTGCCACTCCTCAGTTCCTGCAGACTCCCGCCCCGTTCCAACGCTCTGACTCCACGCTGCTTGGCCCCAACGCTCTGACTCTCGACGCTCGGCGGTCTTGACAAAGCCCCTACATTGGAACTCTCAGACACTCCATGACACGACTTAATTGGACTGGAATATAATTGATCGCTTATATTACATTGGACCCCAACCTTCAACCCACCCCTGGCCTGATCGGCACCTGTCTAGCAGTCCCATGGAGACCCAAGTCCCGTCGTCACCGGTGGGGACCCGGAGCGGTTCGAAGCCCCCGCCGAGGGGGGCTCCGGACCCGAGGATTATTGCTCGCGCATGATTGGGCACACAGGGCCGGAGATCTTCTGGAGGTGCCACCTGAGGAGAGATGATGGAGAAACCAGGGTCTGCAATGGCATGCAAAGATGTTGGAGGGGTCTTGGGGTTCTGCATTGGCCGAGCCTCAAAAAGAAAGGTGTGTTTCATAAAAGGTTCGTTGGTGCTGCCCTCAAGGCCTCTCCCGGAAAGAAAGAGGAATTGTTTCTATCAATGTCGGGACCCTGGTTTTGCGTATTTCAGTTTCATCCGCCAAAGCCCAAGCACATCTGCCTAATATTGATGTGGTTTCTTTAGGTCCATGTTACAGTAAGCTCCTAGAACTCTGTGGTCCTTTCTCCAGACCTCCATCGTTCCAGGTCCACCACCGTCACCACCACGACGGCAGAGGATGCCACCGAAGAAGACTTGGAATTGATCGCCGAGTGCGCCGAATCACCGGAGCTTCAGGACGGCTTCCGTGCTTCGTGGACGTCACGCGGCCTCCGTCAGCGGGTTTGGTCCGGCAACGGTGGTTTTTTCCTTTCAGTTCGTGAAGCGACTGGAGTCGCGAGTCCGAGAGTTGGTCGACTCAACTCAGTTGTGGGAGTTCCAACTCAACCACGGGAGCTTCAAGGAGTTGGTGTTGCGCGAAGACTTCGAAGAGTTCTTCCAAGAATTCATTGACATCCACTTACCCAGCTGGTGATCTGAACCAAACCCAGTGACAGTCCGAATGAGATCCCAGTGGTCTGTAAAAAGCACGAGTCGATCGAGGTGTGTTTTTCATGGGTCACATGACGGCCACTCCTGAAGGTCCTGCGATGGGTGGATCTGACTTGATGACAAGGTTCCTTTCCCAGGCCATCCATGGAACTGGCTCAAATATACTTATACAGTACATTACATTGGGGATCATTGGGGTGGGTGGTTAGTAGGGTCCATACTATATTCCAGACATGTCCTCCCAACAAAAAGATCATCCGCTTCAACATCTACAAGGACCCCTCGAAACTGAAACTGGCTAAGTTTAGATGAAGACCATCTCACAGAGGAAGTCCTGGCAGTGAACATCCTACTCTCATCACGTCGGGTGGCAGCAACACTTTCGCTCTTGCGCTTCACCAACCCCCAACCCAAATGCCTCCAGGTACGCGCAAAACATCTCCTCGGCGCAGGAGGACCTCCGGTGGGGAGGGCAGGGAGAAAGGAGTCCAGCGAAAGACATCCTGGGCTTTGCTTAAGGCATATCTATTTCGATTTTGTGTTTTCCCATACCTGCAGTCACAAGATGGGGTGCTATCCATGGAGATTAGGGGTGCCCAGCTAATCGACTCACTTGGGGACGAGCCACACCACCCCGACATGTGACTCCTGGTATGGGTCAATCCCCTTCTGGGGAATACGTTTTATACATTTTTATACTGTTTTATTGTTCCAGCTTCCGAACGAGCACATCCAAGAGACAGAACAAAAAGGCACCGTCGTCCTCGTGGGGGACGCGATGATCCAGTTCGGAGCCTCAAAAGCGAGCACGGGAGAGCTCCCCAACCCCCTTGCTACTTAAACCAGGACCTTCAAATGTAACATAAAAACCAGGATCTTAAGATCTTCATCGGGTTTCCTCCAGTTTCTTCTTTGCGCAGCTCTGACTTGCGCGTTTGCGCAGCTCTCTGCGCAGCTCTGGGTGCGCCGCCAAACATCTCATCGGTGTCACCCACCGGTCTTTCAACCGAAGAACCGACTGGTTTGTGTCCCGGCGGACATGATGAGAACAACCCATACTCTCCATGTATGCTATATATTTGTTACATCGGGGTGGTTGAAAGGGGGGCAATGTATGCATATATTCCATACGTGGATATAACCAGTCATGTCAAGCTACAGTGTTTGACCTGGCTGGCCAATGAACAGATTCACGTAGATTGCCACTTCACCATCATGTTGAAGCAAATGATCGATGACCATATTTGGAGGATGGACAGATTGTCTTGGGATATCTGCATTCCCCAACCACTCCTTCCCACTCATGGATACCTGTCCTGTCCGGAGCAGGTGCTCGACGCGGGCGGTCCGCGCGACCTGATTGGACCCGGCATGGGGAGGCCTTTGATCAATGCCACCGCTTCACGCACTCCGTGTGGTACGCCTTGATCCTACTCTCCAGCGAGGAGCGGCTCGCGGGGTTAGTGCCCCCACGCGGTACCGCGGGGTTGGGGCCGGTGGTGAGCCGGAGACACCGAGTTGAGGAACGCCAAGGGTTGGCTTTCCTTGGTCGGGTCACTTGGTCGGGTAAGTTGGAAAGGCAAGAAGGGTTTGTATTTTTTTCAGAAGAACCCACTGCTGAAACCGAACTCCCAGAGTCAACTTCTAGCTGGTTGAATCGGTCAACGGGCGAGCGGCGAACTGAATGTTGGTCGAAGAAGGTTGGTGAAACTAACGTGTCTTGCAGCTCGGGACGTTGATCCCAAATCTCCTAAGCTGTCTTGTAGGTCGGCACGGTGCATCGAGATGTCGCCCAAATCAACGGGATTTCCGTGCGAAACGGTCGCCAGGATGTTCTGAACCTCGATGGGACCACCGATGGCGGATGCGAAACGGTCGATCCCATCGATGCGGATGATAAGTATACTGTATGCCCAAACACTGACCAAGCCATTGGGCAGCATAAGGAGGATGGCGAGTAGCCGGTCGAGATCAAGGTTTTTTGTAACTTTTTTCAACTCCAGCACGATGAGGGATGTGTGTCTCAATGAGGGGAGGGCAAAAACAACGTACACTTCATCATGGAGGTAGACAACCACCTAATTTTTTGTAGAAGAAACTGGTCATCCAAGAAGCAATTGTCCACTTCCATGATACCAGGCCATACTAGGCCTCTAGGCTTACTGGGTGCACTGGGATTCTGGTTTAGGTGCCTTCCCTCACCATGAACATCAAAAGGGTTGAACTCATGGAGCTGTGCTCATGATCATGACCCAGTCAGTGGGACCTGCCCAACCCTTGTTTTGGGGGGTGTTGGGAGTGGGGACACACCCACTAAACAAGAAGAGGTAGAAACCAGGGAAACTGAAGGAGTCAGTTAAAACTGAAGGAGTCAGTGGTTGATTTCTGGTCACCTAGATGTTTGTTAGGGCTCTGGGAAAATGGCTCCAATGTGAGGCATGATCACTTCAACTGCCCTACACGCCAAGCACTTCTGATTTAGATGAGCTGGAGCCAGAAGTGGTGAAATAGCAGTTCTCCCAATCCAGTTTGGTTTGGAATCTTGCGTTTCCCAACCTTTTTATGAAGTCGAATCCCATATTTGCTACTACAGGTCAGTATTTTACCGCGATCCTCCTGCAGTCCATGCACGTCCACTTTCCCCTAAATGTTGGCATGGTCAGGACATGTCACAAGATTTCAGTCTGACTTTCGGGGGCCTTCTTGCGAGCTACTTGGCCACGACGCCAGCATGCTTGGAAGATGCATTCTGAACAGGTCCAACAATCTTCAACAAACATTAACATGCATTCAACTTTGGAGCAGAACAGATGGAATGACGAACGACCGTGCTTTGCTTCTCTATCTCATAGCATGGTCGTGTGCGTTCCGCTTCCACGTCTTCGGGTGGGGGGCACAAGAATGGTAAGCAGCCCCCAAGGCCGCTCTCGGCCGGAACGGTGCTGGTCATGTTCTGAGGAACTTCAAAGCTTCAACCCCCTTCCGGAAGGAAAACGACCTTCAAACCCAAGCAGTCCCAAGCAGTTCCATGTCGGGGCGCCACGTTCGGTGCCTCATTCCCTCGTCCCCAACAGGCCGGTTCGACCGGCCAGAGGCGTCCAGGCCGTCGTGCCCAACCGGCCGCACCGCCGGAGTTGGGATCTTTAGATCTTGTCATGCCAGGGCATCCAGTTACCACTATAGCTGGTAACCAGTGGTTCCAAAGACTAAAACCACCTAGAACCCCTGGTTCCTTATATAGTGGTAACTGGGATGCACTGGGATGTTTTTTCGCGGAGTCACAAGCCCACCATCCTGAAGCGGCGAAATTCGCCTCTCCTCTCCCGAACCAGCTGTTTGACTGCTGTTGGACCGGGGTCGTTCGTCCTGGAGGGCCCAACCTCCGGGTGAAGCCGCTCCTCGCCCGCGGAGGCCGGTCGCGTGGCGGGTTCGCCGCTCGTGTCGACGAAGTCTGTGAGGCGACCACCGACTGTGAGAACTTCTTCGCGCCCAGCGCGGAGGTGGAGCGGAAGTGGGGGAAAGCACTGGCAGCTGGGTGAACGGGAGGGGAGGGGGTGCAAGCTGGTAGAATGTTGACTCATGAGTATAAATGTAGACTCTTGATTAATAACAACCCCCTTTTGAATTGAACATCCTCTTCATGGAGGGTGTATTAATCAAGAGTCTACACAATCCCTCCCAAAAGGTAGTGAAATGAAGTCCAAGAGTCTACATCAGACACTTCACCCAGCAGTCGGTCACGGGTTTCACAAGAACATCAGGCCTGCAACTGAACCATCATCATCCACTGTTGCTGGTCATGTTTGGTCATAGGATAGGACCCAATGTATAGGTCAAGTGGCACCTACAGGGTGATTGGTTGGAGGAGGGAAGCCAACCTGGTGACTCCAAGGCCAGAGGGGGAAGGATCATGTTCACGGCCGCCTGAAACCAGAGTTGAACAGCACAAGCCATGGGCGAATCTGGTAGCCACACCAGCGAACGACTGCACATTGTTGCGGGTGATGTTGATGTCGAATATTCTAACCCAGACACTCCATGTACTGTATGGCATATGTACCGCCCCATTGGGGTGGTGCCAGGGGGGTCAATGTAGGCATATATGGCATACATGGAGTGTCTGGGCACTGTGAGATCCACCATCAACTGGAAATCTAATGAACAGAATCAACCCCAGTCCACCGATGGGACTGGAACATATGCCGCCCCAAAAAGGCTCCTCCAACCACCCCAAGACTCGTCCTTGTCTTCGCGTCCAATCGTCGCGAGGTCTCCATGGAAATGTTGGCGATCATCGTGGGCAGCACGGGTGGTGTGATCGCCTTTTGCGCCGTTGTGGGCATTTTGGTGGTCCGCCATGTTCAGAGCCTGGGCGGAGCACCAAGACGACTCCAGTCGACCTGTCAAGTAGTACAGAAAGTCCTATGCTAGTTGAGGGACACGAACCTGGAGTTCTGTGAGTTAGTACCCTTCTAACATACGGCCATGTCCCAAGGGTCCAGGTGCAGCCACAGAAAGCTCGCTTCAGTGTGTGGCGTAGTGTGGCGTTGTGGCTGTTCTGTCACACGTTTGGTGGGGCCAAGTCACCAGTATGAATAGCAGTGATCCTGATGCATACTGAATGATGAAATCCATTGAAATCCTAGATGCAGTTGGGTGAAGTGCCAGTTGATCCTCAAGATCTTGGCATATTCACCGAATCCCCATGGTGTTTGGAGATTGATTTGCTTGACGCCCAGGAAGAATGCCATGGAGGATGTCGTCAGTTCCAATGATCAGGGTCCTCCTTCAACCGGCTGCTTTGCACGCTTGATGAGGTCTGGGGCGCTGACAAATCATATGTTCTGGACCTCCGTTTTCGTACCGAACCTCAGCGGTTCGGTATGACTGGACCCTCCCAGCGGCGCCCCCGGGCGTCCCACCTTAGAAGGTGCGAATGGAAGTGCAGCGACATGTACAGTGCAACATGTACATATATATATGTACCATATGTACTTTGGCTCAAGGATCAAGCGACTAGAAAAGGTGCGGTTTCCGTTCCGACGCTACGCCGCTTATGGACCGTCAGTGATAGCTTCAAACTACGCTGATTAAGATCCACTCGCAGGTTATCAGCCGTACGCGCTCTTTATAGCCGTACGAGCTACACGAGACCGAGAACAAGACTAGTCATTACAGAAACCTGCAATGTCAAGCTCAGGAGGAAATGGAAGCGAACCCTATTCATTCGCTGCTCCTGGTGGTCCCAACACCATTTCGTCACCAGACTCTACAATGGGTACTGATTCATCAGCAAATGCTGACGTTATCACTATGCCTACTGGATCACAAATATCGGAAAGATCCGTGCCACCGGCTCGGAATCTGACCGACCTTGCACCCGTAGGACCAAGAAGATCAATGAGAGCTACAACAAGATCTACATCGCCTATAACGTCTACCGCGAGATCCCCAAGAAGGAGTATAGAGAAGAGACGTGACGATGATAGAGGAACAAAAGAGCAAAGAAGAGAGATTCAGCTGGGTGAAGAATTGAGATCGGCGAGAAACGCATACAATTTTCTTCATCAAGAATATGAATGCATCCAAGCCGGATACTCACGACTACACCACGAGGCTGAAGTGGGGTTCAGGCAAATGTCTGACTACAACAGGAAGATGCAGGAACATCTACAGGAGATGACACAGGAGGATGAAGGAGCGACAATAAGAATTGAAGAGCTCGAACACAAGCTACGCTTGGCGGAATCGACAGCTGAACATATCTACATGAGATATCAAGAGCTTGCACAAGAGACTCATCAAGAACATTCAGAGCTTGAATCTGTGAAAGCAACGAAGGACAGAATGTCCCAAGAGCTTCAAGCAGCAATTGGACACATCCAAGAACAGAATGAATCTTCATTGGCGATCAATAGAAGATCAAAAGCCATTCAGGATGAGAACACAGCCTTCGTTGGAATAGCCGACCAGATACAAGCTAGAATGATTGCGCTACAGGATGAGAATGTCAACATGCACGAGGTGATCCAACATCAGAGAGAAGAACAATGGAACAGTGAGGTCAGGGAAAGACGTCTTCAACACAGTGTTCACTCATCTCAAGATCAGAGCAATCAGGAAGCTATGGTTATTGATCATCTACGAGGTCGACTAGCTATGGCACGTGGAGCTGAACTCAACGCGAAAGCGGAGATGGGAGAGATGGAAGTGGGCATGAGGATGGAGATGTTTATATGCCAGACTGAAGTCTCTGCTAAAGAAATGGCAGATGCGAAGGCGAGCCACCACGAATACGAAGCAAACGTCGCAAAAGAGGTTATCGCAAAAGGAGAAATATTCAACAACGAAGTCCTAGAAAGTTCCATCCGTGAACGACAACAATTGAAAGACGTCAACCTCGCTCTATCCGAAGCCAACGCACAGCTGAAAAGAGAGAATATGATGAGAGCTCCTATGTTCGGCGATGATGGTGCAGAAATTCAACAGAAGATCAGAGAACTGGAGGATGCACTATTGGAAAGCCAAAAGGAGACAAAGAATGTCATTATGGAAAATGCGAAATTAAAAGCAGAAGCACGAATGGCACCCATAGTCTCTCGGTACAGCAAGCGTCCTAGTTCCAGAGACCGCGGGTTACCAACCCACGCGTCCGAGGAAGATGAGGTTCGGAACGCAAAAGAGGAGGCGAAGTACTACAAGGACGGGTACGATGAAATGACAGAGAGCCGAGATGAAATGTATGAATGGTATGCCGAAACCCACAATGAGTACGCCGAGGAAAGGGAGAAATCAATTGAGCTATCCGAGGCGAACAAACCATTGAGGGACAAGATTTCAGAAACAGAGGCATCCTCTTCATCTCATCTTGCACCGGCAACCTCTACTGTCATGAAAGTATCGAGGAAGGAAGAATCAAAGATAAACGTTCCGTCATGGCCCAGGATCAATGATATTGGATTATGGAAGGCAAATCTCATTCAATCAATCATCATTGCGGCCAATGATTCAGATCAAGAGCCCTGGATCGACTGGATCAAAGAAGCCATGGACGATCCTGATCCGGACAAGTTTGTCGACTCAGGAGACCAAAGATTCCATTCAATCGATGCCAAACTCGGCCTAGCTCTTACCAAGGTCGTCATGGATGCGAAAGATGATGGTTCAGGTGTAGCTATGAAGTTGAGGACGAGGATCAATGCAAAAGGGAGAACATCAAGCCTTATAAAGGGAAGAGAGGTCCTAGCCCTGATCCTTATGAATTTCAAGACAACATCAAATGTGGAAGTCTTATATACTTCAATGCACCTCTACCAACTAGAATATCAAGGAGACAAGAACTTATCGTTGTTCTTCCACACTTGGGATGAGATTCTGGCAGGAATGAAGCCCGTTGACGTCCCGAGCGACGAAACTCTTCGGGATCTCCTATGGAGAAAGATCAGGAACTCAAATCTCATGGCATACGACATCAGCGCCTTACAATAGCATGAACGACGATGATGCCAAGAAGACATACAAACATCTACGTGATATGATCAGAAGGCACATCGAACGGCAAACTGAAGACAGGATGATCCTGGAAAAGGAGAAGGCAGTGAAGAATGTGGCCAATATCTTTCAGAATCTCAAACCAGGCGGACCTGCTCCAAAACTGAAAGCTGCACCAGCTGATCCGAAGAAGAAACCAAAAGGGCAACAAGAACAGGTTGTCTCAGAAGACGCTGCTGCAGTGAAGCCGAAACCCAATCCCAAGAAGCATCCTGAAGACAAGAACAAAAAAGGAAAGGGGAAGGTAAAGGTGATGGAAAGGACCGCAGCCGAAGTCCGAGTACAGACAAAAAGAAGATACCATGCAAATTCTTCGTGAAAGGTAACTGCACTATGGGGAAAGATTGCCCATTCAGTCACAAGAAACCCAGATCACCATCCAGAGGACCTTCTGTCGGAAAGAATGACAAGCCAGTATGTTGGATGTGGATTCGCGGAACTTGTGATAAAGGGAAGGATTGCAAGTTCTACCATGACCCAAAAGCCTCTCCTAAGAAAGGGATATCTGCACCAGCTGACTCAGGAGACGATAGGCCAAAGCCCAAGGCAAAACCCAAACCGAAACCTAAGGCGAAGCCTGGAGCCCCAGCCATTGGCGGTGAACTCTTCATGGACGAATCCGAAGATGAAGGGATTGCTGCATCCGCCAAGGCGAGGGAAGGAGGTGCAAAGGTATCCTTTGATGAAGAGACTTGTGAGATCATGTTGAACGAAGCGATCTACTCAGTCAGGGACAAATGGAAGGTAGTAGAAAAGAAACCTCTACGTCCGGACATCAAACGATATGATGAGAAAGAGCTCACCTGCTACACGAGGAAAGAGCAAATCAGATTTGAAGAAAAGGTCGCAGAGGCGAGAGGCATACTGATGGTCCCCTACACTGAAATCAAGAGGGTCCGAATACCAGTTGGACCAAAGGGTGACCTATCGGTCACTATGTCTTTTGACGAAGATGACGGCCTAGTTTTCCATCATAAAGTCATTCCTCATGTATGCGAGGGAAAGAAAGATCATGCAGACACAAAGACATTGTCTATTCCAGCCAAAGGGTCAAGAACAAAGTTCATCATGGACACAGGATGTGGGTATGATTTGATATCGAAAGGCAGAGCCAAGAAATTAGGTCTGGAAGTGAGAGAAAGCGACCAATCAATGTCATTCTATACCGCAAATGGAGTGACATCCACAAAGGGAGTCGCCGACATTCATTTCGACGAATTTGACTCTACCTACTCCCCATTCGTCTTAGATGAGTCTCCTTCAGTACTGTCTGTTGGAAAGAAATGCATGGAGGAAGGATACACATTCATATGGCCAGCCTGCGGCAACCCGTACATGATTTCCCCGAACTACAAGAAAATCATGTTAGAAGTAGAGGGAAACATCCCATATATTGTCAAGGGCAGTGACTTCTGTACTCCCACCGACGATACAAGGGCGGAGATGATCGCAAGGTTCACCCTAGGAGAAGATGAAGCCGATTACCAATCGACTTTCATCAACTGTGATGTGGATCCTCAAGGAATCATGTGTGATAATGACGACCTTCCTGTGATTGAACCTCCAAAAGTCAAAAGACGAAAGAGGAATAAGAAGTTCAAGGCATCTCCTGGAGAAGAAGATGAGGTAGAATCGGATGTCGCCGGAGACAGTGAACCAGAAGCTGACGATGATGATGCAGACGACATCGAGGTGGATGTTATTGACGGTGCAAGTAGAATGGTGAGAAGAGGAACTCTGAAAGCAGATGCCAGGAAAATCGAGCATCTACTCACACATCGTTACAAGAACCCCTACTGTGAGTCATGCATCAGAGCAAAGATGAAACACTTCAAGACGCATCGGGGAGCGTTCAAGAGAAAGCTCAAAGCTTTTGGAGACCTGGTTACCTTTGATTTTGCCGATACAAGGAACATCCTTGATCAAGGGATCAGTACTGATCGAGAGATCTTCGTCATTCGTGACAGGTACACAGGCGTCATATGGGCCTATCCGTCGAAAGAGAAGTTTACCAAGGACGTGATCAATGCAATAAACCACTTCAAGGGATTGAAGAAGATCAAGATTGCTTATGCCGACAAAGCCCCAGAGTTTGAGACGGCTATGAAACAGCTGAAGATCCCATTCGATCACTCTCTACCGAATCATCCTCAAAACAATTCTCTGGCGGAGAGGAACAATCAGTTCATTATGATGACAACCGCAACTTGTCTCTTGGAAGCGGGGTTACCACCATGTTTCTGGAGCTATGCAGTAGAATGCGTCA